ATTTTGTGTAACTATTAAAATATATAGTTAAAATCCACTATCGCCTTTTATTCAAGTCTTCTTTTAAACCTTTTTTATTCAAAGACAAAGACAAAGATTATTTATTTGCAAAAACACGTGTTAAATAATAATACATCATAGAATGCACATTATTAGTTGTACAGATGAGCAGTGAGCATAGTATCAACATGTTTAACCATTTCTGGTGTACAAATGTGGAATATAATATTAACTCGTCGAGTACCGGTTTTATAGACACAATTAAAGAACAATAGGTCGCGGTCACCGGTGACCGCTTGGTGTTTGACAGATTAAATCCAATTATAACAGTTATTAAACTTTTAAATTGTAACATTCCTATAAGAGACTCAAACCTCCTGACCAGGGACAACAAAGAAAAATTACAAACACTTGTCATTTACAAAGTCATGAACACTATAATAGCATTTATTAACTAGTAGTTTTTTCAACGCTTGTTTGAATAAGTTTAAATTTAATTTAATAATTTCTTTAGGAATTTTGTTATAAATTATGGGAGCCATACATATCACGCTTTTATGCATTAGTGCTGTTTTAGATGGGTGAATACATAGTCGATTGTTGTCACGTCGATTTCGTTTTACTTTATCAGCCAGAGTGGGAAATAAGTGAGAGTTGCTTCTAACAAACAGTGCTACTTCTAAGATATAGAGTGATGGCACTGTCAGCATTTTATGCGTTATAAATAATGGCCTACAACTCTCCGAACTCTGTTTACGGAACATGGCTCTTACGCACCGCTTTTGCAATTTAAATATGATGTCCTTGTTTGTCGAGTTACCCCAAAAAATTATACCATATCTCAGAGCAGACTCGACAAGACCGTGATATGCTGAAAGTAATGCCTCGATGTTAATTATTGGACCTAAGCTATACAGGACATACGATAAACTACTAATTTTTTTACTTAATGCGGTTATGTGCTCTTTCCAATTTAATTTGCTATCAATCGTTAAACCAAGAAATTTCGCATCAGTTACTTCTTGCACATTATAATTATCGTGAGTTAAATTTACATTCAGTGGATTACATAATCTTTGTCCAAAATGCATTATACTAGTTTTCGTCAAATTTATTTTTAAATTATTATTATCAAGCCATGAAATTACAGATGTCAATGAATTGTTAATGTCTAAATTATATTGGTAGATGTCATTACACGGAATTATAATTGTGCTGTCGTCGGCAAACAATGTCATAGGTTGAGTTATTGTTTTTGGCAAGTCATTTATGTAAATAATAAATAAGAGTGGCCCCAGAACGCTGCCTTGAGGAACACCGTAAGATATATCACGTGTTGTAGAGGTGTATGTTACCTCAGTTTTTGTACTTATATTAATTCTATTTATTTCAGTTACTTGTTTTCGGTTTGTCAAGTAAGATTGTACCAATTTCAAAACATTTCCCCTTATGCCATTGGCTTCAAGTTTATCCACTAGTATACCATGGTGCACATAATCAAACGCCTGTGACATGTCACAATATATTGAGCATACTGGAGACGATTTATCTACATGAGACAATACATTGGCTATGAATTCATAAATGGCCATATTTATAGTTTTGTTTTTTCTAAAACCTTTTTGTTCATTGCAAAGAATATTATTTTTCTCTAAATATGTGTTCATTTCACTGTACAGATATTTTTCAAATATTTTAGCAAATATTGGTATAAGTGCAATCGGTCTATAGTTTTCTAGTGTTTGTCTATTCCCTTTTTTGAACAGAGGTTTAATGATTGTTGTTTTAAGCTGTGTTGGAAATATTCCCTTCGCAATGCATAGGTTTAGTATATGACTCAGATGTTGGGAGATGGTTTCATTTACAGATTTTATTATTTTCGTGGAAATACTGTCATGTCCCACACTATTTGTATTTTTTAAACTTTTAATGATTTTATTAACCTGTTGCGCCGAAACAGGTGCAAGAAACATTGAGTTAAGAGGACGGTTAATCAAATTTGTCACATTTTTTCCAGCTCCATAAATAGGTTTCACTTTTTCAATAAAATAATCATTAAATAAATTTGCTAAATCTTTTGGATTTGTAACATACTTAGTGTCATTGATTTTTATATTTTTGATAGTTTCTTTTGGCACATTAAGTCGCATTTTGTTTATTATTCGCCATGCCGTTTTACATTTATTATGTGACGTTTTAATATTATAGTTATTTTGTGCTCTTTTTGTTAATGTTACGATTTTTTTAAACAGTTTACAATAACTTTTATATTTATCCTTATTTTGTTCAGTAGGATTAAGCCTGAAATTCCACAGCAGAGCTTTTTTTCTTCTACTACATATCTTCACTCCACGCGATATCCATTTAGGTTTACTGTAGACTTTCATTAAAAATTTCCGTTTAGGAAAGCAAAGGTCATAAATAAGTTTAAAATCATCAATAAAGGTCTGATATGCTATGTTTGGGTCATCAGTGTGGTAAATGTTTGAAAATGACAAGCTCTTTATGTATGACTGAAACTTTTTAACATTATCCAAATTGAAATCATGTTTTTCAATGTACCAATATTGTAACAGTGGTATTTTTTCAATGGGAAGTTCAACTAATTGTGCTGTATGGTCAGAAAGGCCTAGTTCCAGGATTTCAGTCCTACATTTTGTTTTGAAATTATGAGCAAAGTTATCAATACAAGTTTGACTAGCAAGTCTCGTCGGTTTACGTAGTGTTAAATTAAGATTGTAACTAAACAATAAACATTCAAAGTCAAGCGTAACATTATTATTTTTAAGAATGTCAATATTGAAATCACCTGCAATTAAAATATTTTTAAAATTACGATTAGAAATATATGTCAAAAGTTTTTCAAGTCTATTAAAGAAGGTATATAAATTATTTTGATTTGGCACTCTATACACGCAAATAATCACAGTTTTATAGTCAAGTAGTTCCACAGCACTACATTCAAACACACAATCCAAACAAAAATCTTTAATGTCTGTTTGCTCTCTAAAATTATGTCCATTTTTTAATAAAATACATGTACCCCCTCTTTTACTATTACTACGACTGTAAGATGAAGCTAATGTATAGTTTGGCAGATTTAAGAGCGATTATTGAATGAATGCAAGCGCACTAAATAATTATTATCCGCCATTTGATAGAGCGCGACCGCCTTGTTCATGTTTGCCGCGTAATTATTGCTACGTTCGAAATTATTGCGAGGTACTGTAGTATAATTATTTATTTTGATGAGGCCAAACATGGATTCTAACACGAACTTTTATCGTGACAACGCATACACGAAAGTTCGGTGTCAAGCGTGGCAGTAGCATTAGTAGGAAGTAGGGAGTGAACGTGAAACTAGGGAGTGTACCGGTTGTGCAGCACTAGCGCCACGGCGGCGGGCGGCGGCAGCGGCGGGTGCGGCGCGGCGCGCGGGCTGAATGACGTCACGTCCAGCGCCGGCGCGCGCACGCGCGGCAGCCACGCCCCGCACCACTCGCGCCACGCGCCCACCACGTCGGGCGGCGCCCCCGCCCCCGCCGCCCCGCAGCGCGCCGCCCAGCTGCGCTCCGCCTCGCCGCGCTCCAGCACCAGCCGCGCCGCGCCCGCCTCCAGCGCCACCACCACCTCCGAGTCGAACACCTGCGCATACGTTACACGCATTAGTCAGGTAACGCGCGTCGTTACCGTGCCACGCGCGCTGTGTACCTCGACGAGCGTGTTGGCGGCGAGCGCGTGCCAGTCGTCCCGGTCGAGCCCGCGCGCGCTCCACCAGTCGTCCCCGCGCGCGCCGTACATGCGCGCCAACTCCTGCGCACTGGCCGCCAGCGCGCTCTGCAACACACACACTGCGTCACTGCCACACACACTGCGTCATTGCCACACACATTCTGCGTCATTGCCATACACTGTGCGTCAATGCCACACACATTCTGCGACATTGCCACACACATTCTGCGTCATTGCCATACACTGTGCGTCAATGCCACACAGACACTGCGTCATTGCCATACACTGTGCGTCAATGCCACACAGACACTGCGTCATTGCCACACAGACACTGCGTCACTGCCACACACACACGCTGCGTCACTGCCACACACACACACACGCACCCGCAGGTCGTGCGCAGTGAGGCGGACCCGCGCGCGCGCCGCGTCCGTGAGCCCCAGCGCCAGCTCGCGGCGCCGCGCGGCCGCCGCCTCGTGCAGCGTCGCCGTCAGGGACGCGCACTCCTTCTCCAACTGCTTGTACGCCCCCGTCTGTCGGTGGATACAATCGTCATTCCATGTACGATCTCATTTCGATTTTATAAGCGATTCTGTTTCGGGCCACGCGTAACCTTAGCGATCTGCACGGAGAAGGGTCCGAAGCAGGCGTGCACGAAGTGCTCGTAGTCCCGCAGCGGACGCTCGATGGCGCGCTCGAGGTCGGCCACGCGCTCGGCCAGCGCGTCCAGCTCGGCGCGCGCGCACACGGCGGCCAGCGCCTGGCCCGGCGACGCCTGGTAGGGCGGCGGCGCGCTCAGCCCCGGCCCGGCCACGCGGCGGCAGTACGCCGAGTCGTGCAGCGGCACGCGCGCGCCCCGCGCCAGCAGCCCGCGCCAGGCGGCCGCCTCCCAGGCGCCGCGCAGCGCCGCGCCCGCCGCCGCCGCCAGCAGCGCCAGCGCGGCGCCGGGCAGGCACAGCGCGGCCGCCAGCAGCGCGCGGCGGCGGCCTGCAGCGCGCCGGCGACCCCGCAGCGCCACGCCGCGGCCTGCAGCACGCCCGCCCACCTGCGCACGACTACTCTATGCCATGTTGGAACCAAATATACTACTAACTTTACCCCCCTATTGTATCTCACAACTTTCATTGAAGCTGCTGCGTACCATTATTAAAGTTACCGTTCTAGATTATTCTCGTATCGTTTTTTATAAATACGCCCGACAGGGTTAACACGCATCGATACACTGAAGTAGACGACCACTCTTTCTTACGCCAGCAAGTTGGTCCAAGCTACAAGTGGTGTTGGTGGTGTCGTGGCAGGTAGTGCGGTGCGAACCTGTTGAGGCGGTCGGGGTCGGGGCAGTCGATGTCGTAGAGCAGCGCGTTGGACACGTGCACGGCCAGCGCCAGCGGCGGCACCCACAGCGGCGCCAGCAGCGCCAGCACGGCGGCCGCCAGCGCCGCGCCCAGCACCAGCACCGGCAGCGCCAGCAGCAGCAGCAGCGAGCCGCCGCCGCCCAGCACGCCGTACGTCCAGGCGCGGTGCAGCAGGCGGCGCGGGCCCGCGCCCAGCAGACCTGCGCCGGGGGGTGATCAAATACTAGTTTAATTTCAAAATAAGAATTAAGTGTTTCTTTCATGTAATAGTAGTTGTAATCAATCGAGGCTGTTGTTTCATGAATAACACGTAAAAAATCGAGGAGCGTGTCGTTCACACCCTGTATGTACACGACATCACACTACCTAACAACTCCAGTCTTCAGCTGTGCAATCATTTCAAAACGTTAGGAAGGCACTGACGTCACGCGATGTATTAAATGTGTTGTCGTTTAATGGTAATATAAGGAGATATGTAATGTGTCGCTAGTCACCAGTGTCCGGCTCGGTGTCGAACCTCGTCCTCTCCTTGGAGACGTACCGCCACAGGTTCAGTAGCCGCGACCACATCGTCTGCGTCTCACTGCTGCGCTTCGGGAACAACGTCCCGTTCACCTGCAACACACCACTCGCCTCGTTACATCCACCGACATACTCGTCTTAACCAAGCTATGCTATGTTCCGCCCCGACCACCTGGGAGAGCTCGTAGTCGGGCACGAAGGGCTTCACGCAGACCAGCGTGCGCAGCGAGATGGGTGAGCTCCAAGGGATGAGCACGGCCAGCACGAACATGACGTTCCAGGTCCAGCAGAAGGCGCGCATGGCCAGGTTGTGCAGGCGCCAGCCGGGCCAGCGCGTGCTGCTGCAGGAGGCGGTGTCGCGCGCCAGCAGGAACACGGGCTGCGACGGGTCCGAGCGCGGCGTCACGATGGACGTGGCGCGCGTGCACAGCACCGTGGGCACGCGCTCGCGCCGGCCGCGGAAGTGGCGCTCCACGCGCCAGCGCGCCGGCCGCCACGTGCGCCGCGCCCAGCGGAACGACCGCGTCGCGCCCACCGCCGCGCGCAGCTCCGCCGCCAGCAGCGGCTGGCGCTCGCGCAGGAAGGCCAGGTCGCGCAGCACGAAGTACCGGTGCTGCGCCAGCCGCGCCGCCGCCATGCCGGCCGCCGCCTGCTCCGTGCTGGCCCAGCGCAGCTCGTCCTTCAGCCGCGCCGCCGCCGCCGCCAGCTTCTCCTTGCGCCACGCGTCCGCTCGGGACAGGATGGGGTGCGACGCGCGCAGACGCGCTTCCGCGGTCGCTAAGCCGGCTTCTAACTTTCGCCGAACGTCTTCTTCGGCTCTGCGAGAAAATTAATAAAGATAAAATGTAATAAGTCGTCTACTTCTGACAGTCGTGTCGTGTCCGACAGACCCGGTGGCGACTCACCTGGCGACGATGGCGGAGGCCCTGAGCTGCGCGGCCAGCAGCGCGGGCACGTCGGGCCCCAGCGCCGCCAGCGCCTCGCTCGCCATGACGGCGGCGCACACGCGGGACACGTACTCGCGCATGGCCGCCTCGCTCACCTCCTGCACTCGGGCACGTTACACACGGCTCTGTCAGAGCGAGTCAAGCAACAACAAGCCGCGGCTGACCTCCTCGATGTCCTTCATGGGCATCTTCTGGCTGGCGAGGTGCGCGGCGCGGCGCTCGCGGAAGTGCAGGAACCAGCCGCGCGCCTCGCGCTCCAGCAGCGCCTGCAGCGGGCCGGCGGCGCGGCGCAGCAGGTCGCGGCGGTACAGGCGCAGGTCCACGGCCGTGCGCTGCGGCGTGGTGTACAGGCACGGCACGGCGGGCGCGCCGCGCGGCAGCGAGCGCCCGTCGCTCTTCTCGCAGGCGGCGCGGCGCATGGCGCGCGTCACCCAGCCCGCCAGCGCCGCGATGTCTTGTTGCTGCTCCGGCTGCCGGACCAATCCATAACTAGTGCCTCACTGTGAGCTGTTACACTTGTTTGCAATAATGCTATGACAAAAACGCCTAAACGCTCGAAATTAGTCCTACATTCCACAACATCCATTACAATAAACTACACCTGATGAAACAGTTGCCTACGTGGTAACTCTTACAACTGGTTCAGTACCGTGTGAGCACGCATTAACGCAGTACGCTTTACGCGCCAAATAATAGATTGTCAACCTTTTTTCGGTTTTGGAAGGTTAAGCATTTTTTATTTACTTCATTCGCAATGAAAACGTGCGCAAGTTGCAATGAGCGATTCAATGATGGAGTTCAATGTACGAGCTGCAAAAAGTACCTGGACTTCTCTTGTGCCAGCATGACCGAAGTTGGTTGGAGGAAATTGGGTGCTGACAGAAGAGCCCAATGGAAATGTCCTGCGTGCCGATTGTCGTCGCCGACTTTACTTTCACCGCAACCTACGGCTTCACTGGACACAGTGCTGAGTGAGATTCGTGAAATGAAGCGTCAGCTACTGGATCTACCGACTTTAGTCAATGACTTGAGATCATTCAAAGATGAGCTGAGTGATCTCAAAAAATGCCACGATTTTTCTAGTGGTAGGCTCGATGAGTTCGACACTCGACTTTTCAATCTAGAATCGAAGGTGTCAGAGTTTGATAAGCTCCAGGACACAGTCCTCTCACTGCAATCTGAGTTAGCCTCAGCAAAGCACGAGTTTACGTCTCAAGATCAGCGGTCCCGGTTAAATAACGTGGAGATCAAAGGAGTGCCCCTCAAGAAGGATGAGAATTTATTCTCAATCGTCGAAGCCATCGGCCGGAAAATCAAGCATAATTGTCCTAAGGCCCAGATTAATTACATCTCTAGGGTGCCTATACAAAACTCTAAGGAGAAATTAGTAATAGTGAGCTTTCTGAATAGGTATGTAAAGGAGGACTTTGTTGCGGCTGCGCGGGCAGATAAGGACCTATCTACATCGGATTTAGGTTTCCAAGGAGCACCACAGCGTGTTTATGTGAATGACCACTTAAGCGTCGAATCTAAAAAACTTTTAAGTAAAACCAAAAACATTGCTAAAGAGAAACGTTATGAATTTGTGTGGGTTAAATATGGCAAAATTCATGTACGCAAAAACGTTAATTGTAGAACCTTTATAGTTCGGAAAGAACAGGATTTAAACAAAATTGTATAAACCGCTACATAAGAACATGTCATTTTTTAAATTTATGTTATACTTTTAAAATCGATCAATGTCTAATAATTGTTTTTTGTAAAAGGTTTTGCACCTCTGCTTCGCTGATGAGTTTCTTTTGTTCTCGACATCGCGCTGTTTGTGTTGGGGATCTGATTCATAGCTATATATCTGACTCGCTTGCACTTACGCTCCTGATGTATTGCTGCTTACTTGCTCACTTAGTAATGTCATACGTAATATCGGATGATTTGCAAACTTTTGCTACTTTAATTTACATTTACCCACTTTTCACATATTTATTTCTGTCTTCCGTAATTAATAGATATTTTATTTTGTAATGCATTGGCCAGTCGTTTTTTGTTATAGTGAAACTTGTGCCGTTATTGTTGCACATTTTAACTATGGTTGATAACAATGAACAGCGACTGACTGTTTACTACCAGAACGTACGGGGATTGCGAACGAAAACGGACTCGTTCTATCGTCAGGTTTTATTAAATTCTTACGATGTTATTGTTCTGGTGGAGACGTGGCTAGTCGATGGTGTGTTGAACTCAGAGTTGTTTGATGACCGGTATATAGTGTGGCGCCGTGACCGGGATTGTGCTGTGACCGGACAATCGCGTGGTGGTGGTGTGTTGGTCGCGACGCGTAGGGAATTACCCGTTACCCAGGAACCGTTCCTCCACTCTTCAGCAGAAGACCTTTGGATTAGCATACGATTTAAAAAGTCAAACACACGAGATTTCGTAAACCTGTACGTTTGTGCTGTTTATTTATGTAAACAAAACAACGGTTTTTCGTTCTCGAATCAACTTAACAATTTTTTTACTAAATTAAACCAAACTACCTTAAATCATTCTTCCGATGTGTTTCTTATTGTAGGTGACTTTAATATGAGTGGAATTTCGTGGACTTCATCCACTAATAATTCGCTAATCCCAGTGAACCCTACCACTAGCGACGAATGTATGCTCGCCGATGAGTTATGCACTCTGGGTCTTCAACAATACAATGGAGTGACTAATAGGTATGGGAAATTGTTGGATTTGGTCCTCTCAGATAAATTAGCCTGTGTTACTGAGTGCTTGGACCCGCTGGTCGCTATTGATCCCTATCATCCCGCCTTGTTAGTTGATATCGACTTGTTTGAAATGCCTTCTTTGGACCATGCACCGCGGCTAAGATATGTTTATAGCAGAGCCGATTTTGTATCTATTAACAAAGAAATTCTTGCAGTGAATTGGGAACAACAGTTTTCGTCTCGATCTCTAGACGGCTCAGTTTCGTACTTTATGGATACTATAAAGGAATTACGAAATAAGTATATACCACATAAGCTTGTCCGTAATAGTAGTTACCCCATCTGGTTTAGTAAATCGCTCATTGGAACTATCAAGGAAAAATACAAATATCTTAAAAAATTCAAGACTTATGGTAATAAATCCGACGAATTATCTTATAAACACTTGCGGGAAAGAGTCAAGACTATGGAAGCCTCATGCTATAACTGTTACCTTAATCAAACTGAAACATCTATTAAGAATAACCCTAAACATTTTTGGACATTTGTTAAAAATCGTTGCAACTCGAACGCTATGCCTAGTACACTAAAATACAATAATGAATTATTACTCACTGGTGATTCTATTTGTGAGGCTTTTTCCTCTTATTTCCATTCCACTTTTCTCGAGCCCAGGTCAACGCCTATGCCCTATACAGCCCCTGTTTCCTCCTCAAATACTACTGTATCTCCCTCTAATATTTCCAACATTGAAATCAAAATTGATGTTGTGACCAACCTACTCCGCAGTTTAGACCCATCCAAAGGAGCTGGTCCTGATAAAATATCTTCTAAATTCCTTATTAAATGTGCTACTTCTATTGCATTACCTATCTCTATTCTGTTTTCCAAATCCTTGTCTCAAGGTGTTGTCCCCAGAGTGTGGAAATCTGCGTTTATTACACCGGTCTATAAGAAGGGGTCTAAAACTGAAGTTACTAACTATAGGCCCATATCTAAATTGTGCATTATTGCTAAATTATTTGAGCGTATTATTTATAATCAGTTATACCCTGCTCTTGCACCTTCGCTTGGCTCCTTCCAGCATGGTTTTTTGAGGGGACGGTCTACAACTTCTAATCTGATTTTGTTTAATGATTTTATTACTAAAGCTATGGATGATGGTAGCCAGGTCGATGTGGTTTACACTGATTATAGCAAAGCATTCGATCGTATTGATCACGACACTTTGATCAAGAAGCTAAACTCTATAGGTATTCATGGGGACCTCTTGAGGTGGTTCTCCTCATATATCAATAATAGATCGCAGGCTGTAGTGATCAATAATTATATATCTAGTTGGGTCTCAGTGCCTAGCGGAGTGCCTCAAGGTTCGTTACTTGGGCCCTTCTTATTTGTGATCTATGTGAACGACATCGATCTGTGCCTTCGATCATCCAAATTACTGTGTTTCGCCGATGACATGAAAATCTTTGCCAAAATATCATCGGTCGAAGATGAATTGGCACTTCAGGCTGATCTACATCGTCTTGAAGTCTACTGTAGGGCTAATAAACTCGATCTGAATCCATCTAAGTGCTCAGTAATTACTTACACTAGGAAACGTGCCGCTCTAGTCAACACCTACATCTTATCGGGCCAGACTTTGCCAAGGTGTGATACCATCCGTGACTTAGGTGTTCATCAAGATAGCAAATTAGTTTTTGACACCCACGTTGACACTATTATCAAAAAAGCCACTAAATTGCTTGGGTTTATTATGCGTCTCTCTAAGTGCTTTAATAACGCCAAAACACTAAAAATTTTGTATTGCACCTTTGTTAGAAGTCAGCTTGAGTATGCGTCTCAGATATGGAACCCACGTTACCATAAGTACATCGACCGCATAGAAAACATCCAAAGACGTTTCATTAAATATCTCTGTTTTCATCAAAAAATTCCATATCACCCTGTCGATTATCTTCGACTCTGTAAGAAATATCATTTATTACCTCTCAAAGATCGACGTGAGATTGCCGACTTTTTGTACGTATTAAAAATCTTAAATAACAATATTGACAGCCCCGAACTTCTATCTAAATTTCACTTTAATGTACCACAAAAAATATTCCGCAATAACCCACCCTTACGTGTGCCTCTAGCATCAACAAATTACAGACAGAATAGTTTTATTATACGAGCGGGTAGACAGTTCAATAATATATGTAAGCAGTATGACTTTGATCCCTTTGCGACTAGCGTGGCGTCGGCCAGAAGGCGCATGAGCCTCAGGTTTTTTAAGTAGCATCTCAATTGTATCCCTAGTTTTCGGAAATGTTTATATTATTTTTATCTTTCACTTATTCTTGTAACTAAAAGTTTCTATTTAATATTAGTTTCTAGTTGATCCTTGCAATTAACTGGTATAATAAACTGTACAATTTTAATAAGCTGTAACCACTGCGAAAATTGTGATATGCTCACCTAACAAATTTAAGTCTGTCACTATACGTGAGGACTTGTAATTGGCTTTCAGTAGTTTATGTTCACTTCTATTTTTATGTAGTTTTAGCTGTAAGTCCTCCAGGGTGTAATAAATAAAATAAATAAATAAATAAATAAACATGTAATTTAGTAATTCTATTACTTCTGCCTGCTTATTACACAGTTTACCAATTCAAAGAGTTAAATCGGAATACGTGAAATGCTAAGAAAAGTTGTATTCCGTACCTTGCATATCAGTTCTGCTACTAAGTACCGCGACCTCTCTTCTCTTATCTTCTTGTCTAGGTCTCGAGCTTCAAGCGATGGCATGCCAATAGCAAAGTCTAGGAGTCTGTAAACACAACATAAACGAGTACATTATAAGTTACAATACCTAGTCTTTTATATAATAATATACTCCATCCAATTTTATGAAATGCATGCATGAAGTAAGTAGGGTGTTCCTTGTCTATGGTCCACAGATAATGTTAGATATTAAGTATTCTATAATTTCAGTAAATAATAAGTCTGTGGACCATGGACAAGACTTCACTTCATTTTATATTTTTAGCTTTAATTTTATTTTATTTTTGGTCATGTTGTGTGTTTTGCGCAAAAATAATTCTTTCTAGTCGGCAGGGAAAGTATTTTTTAAATGTGATTACTTATAAGATTTTTCTTCTGTGTCGTTTCTTGTTTTAGATGTGAAAATATCACTTACGCGTTTCATACCTACCTACATACAGCGAAAAATTCAAATAATTTTTCCTAGTACTTACAAATCGAACTAGGGACACGTTGCACAGCAGTTAAACTCTCAACGCGTTTGTATTTTTTTTTTTTATTAAGGGGGGAACATCATCGAATGACTGCTCCCGCCTGGGTGAGGCGGAAGGGCGTGTCAGACTCTTACTGACTAAAAACCACCCCGTTCCTTCTCCTGCACGTCGAGCCGGAGCCCCGGTTACCCGTTAGGTTCTCCGTGTATTTACGTGGCGTGGCGGTGGCTTACCTGTGCAAGCCTTGGAGGAATGATTTGGCGCCGGCGATGACAGAGAAGGGTTTGTCTCGGAGCAGTCGGTCGCGGGCCACGACGACGATGAGAGCGAGCGCGCGCGCCACGTGGCGGTAGAAGTCCTCGCGCGCGCGCACTCGCCCGCGCTGCAACCAGCTCGCCACGCGCCACACGTGCGTCTGCCCCGGGAAGTGGCGAGACGGAACCTCGAACTCTCTGTGGAGTGACACCCATAATATCTACACTTGTAGTACTGCGGTAATTAAATGAGACATGTACAAAAAAAATGGAAACGTCTACAGTAGAAAAAGAATAGTTCAGCGTCTTACAGACAATTAAAAGGGCACATATCTAATAGGCAGTTAGTATTTAGCGAATGAGACGAGAAATAGGCTGAAGCTTAGATATAGATATGTAATGTACATAAAGAGCTAAACCAGAAGGTTGGACATTGGTTATATTATTGAAGAGCATTAGGCATCTGGTTAGATTTAGATCCTCGGGTCCAGAAATGTGTTTCATTTCTATTAGTATTCAAATTGTGAGTACCTAATCGAGGTGAATGGAGACAAGTTTGTAGCTATAACTCGCGTCTTCAAAATACAAGGAGGCTGTCAACCGGCCTATGATATTAAATATGAAGATACAAAGTCTAGCTTCCATACAATAGAACTTTTCAAAGGGCCCCTTGACGCTTTTTTTATTTATTTTTTTAAGGGGGGAAAATCATCGAATGCCTACTCCCGCCTGAGTGAGGCGGGAGGGAGTGCCCCTTGACGCTAACGAATTGATTATTCATAGTAGGTAGACGTGTATTTGTGTGTCGACCAGAGGCCTTAGTACGAGTTTGTTTTACGTTTAAAGTATTCGAACCGAGTACGCGTTCGGCGCTCTGATTGGCCGGCGCCAATGAACCAACCAATCAGAGCGCCGAACGCGTACTCGTATCGATAAAACAAACTCGTACTAAGGCCTCAGACATAGGAGTGAAAGAAGGTTTGTCTAAAAGGTGCAACAGAAACTGCGGTACATAAATTATAGTATCATAGTAATAATATAATTACATAATATGCATAGGTACTATAGAAATGGTGCAATGGAAATGATAACATTAGTACGAACATTGAACATACATTTGTATAGTCCCCGGCGCGAACCATGGATAGATTTTGTGAGGGGGAGGGGGGGAGGGGGGTAAGTTCGCGCATAGTGTATTTTCTCATTATTATGTTGCTGATGCATTTCTAACGGCATGCTATGTTTGGGGGCGAGCGACAACATTGGCTCCAATGCTTCTTTACAAAGCTGAAAACTGTTTCTCCAGAATGTGAGCAGAAGTTAAGCAGCCTAACTAATAAAAACATAGATTTAACACCCTTGAAATATCTAACAATAATGTCTCAAAGAGTGATAAGGAAACTATATAGTATGTAATGTAGTACTAAAATTATTTGCCCACGTATGCATAATATACATACATAATTAATTAGGGGGCGTCCATAAATTACGTGGGTTGTTTAAGGGGGGAGGGGGTAGACTCAAATCTTATCTAATCTTACGTTGGAGAATATTACGTAATTTTCTTTCTGATTAAAACAAAAATAATATACTATATTACTCCATTTAATCCAGATTGTACATGCTTCAAATGACAATGACCAAATTTGTATGGAGCGTGGTGCCTTTTCATTTTTCGCGGCAGTTGATCGGATGTGGAAAAACTGATGCAGAATAACATTACAAACAAAAAAATATATGGGGTCTTATATCAAAAATTCAGTCCGAACCGAGTTAAATCAGTTCAAAGATGTGAAAATAGTGCTATACTATTCCTCGTATTTTGTTGATGGTGACCGTATACAACGCATATTTCTTCTATTACACTTGTCAAAAATATTTTGTAATAAATGTTTATAAATGATTTCAAGGAATACAATAAAGCTTATTGTGGACTTTTTTACTTATTTTTTTTTTTGTTTTCATTTTTTTTTTGTTTTATAAGGGCTCGGAATCAGATTAAAGAGAACCATTAACTGGCCACTGCTGAAGTAAAAAAAAAAATTTCGCTAGATTGGCTAGTGTGTTCACGTTATATGTTATGGTTTATGGCCTATGACAGATTTTAATGATCAATATCCTCTCAGTCGAAAACCCGCAAAATACTTTACTGAGCCCTATCATGAAATGCTATGTTTATCAGCTGCGGCGTCGGTAGCGGATTGAGTACCTAGCGGCAGTTGTCAAAACACGAAAAATTCATTTTTCTGTCTACTTCTCCCGTCTTAATTCCGAATAGTAACTACTCTAACTACAGTTAATACTTTAATCTACAGCTAGCATAAGATTCTGTACATAGACATCGTTTCATATAAAGTGATGCATTTCGAATGATCACATTATATGAAAAAATTATGCGCTCATCTGACGTATAGTCCATCACTTTACAATGTCGACGATTTGCTTTCTTCAAAAAATTATGCTAACTACAAAGTAGATGAGTCTCCCACCAGGAGTCAACGGCAAAAAAAAATACTTTATTAGATGTTTGGACGGCTACAACTACTCAACCCACCAATGGTACCACAGCTGACACTCATGAAGCTTCTCGACACAACTCCTAGAAGCATCCTACAAGTTGTCGACTGAGAGAAAATAGCTAATAAAAATTAGCGACTGGCAATATGGATATATTGTGGTGTGATTTGGTGTTTCTGTTCCGGGCGTACAGTGGCGCACAATTTGAAGTTAGGAATTGTGACAAAAATATGAATAATTTGAATAAAAAAACGAAAGTAAAATGTTTTATTCCAGCTCCTTTCAACGCTCATAACTCAGTCCAGACTGAGATTTCCATATATGAGCCCATAGACAATTTCGTTTGTAATGACATTCTAGATAATATTTTCCATAAATCATCGACTGCCGCCAGAAAAAAGAAAGGCACCAATTTTAGTCAATGCCCTTTAATTGTACACGCATTTGTTTTATACGTGTAGTATACTATTGTTACATTTTTATTACACTTATAACTATCAGCAATATTGATTACTAGTCTTTACTAGTCGTAAACAAAAGCACGAAGCAAATTTAGTTTTTCGTTTTGCATTAACAATCCAAATTTTGAAAAATCTCACGTGAGATTGGGTGTGGGGCAGGGTGTTGAATAAAATCTTACGAAATCTCACCAGGGGGGAAGAGAGAGAGAGAGAAAATAAAAAAAGCACCTCACGTAATTTATGAAAAGAAAAATACATAACTATAAGGGGGCCCTTATAGTTATGTATTTTTCTTTTCAATAACTTCAAACGACACATATGCAGAGTATACAAACATCGGAGCCAATGGCAAATAATAAATATCATACACAAAATTACAATAACAATACATATAGGTACATAAATAAATAGACAGGGCGACATACCCCCATTCACGTATCGATTCCAATTGCTTAGAGTTTAAGTTCTTCAGCTTAAATACTTTGTCCTTGTGGAAGCTTTATGAGAAAAAAATCAACTATAATGAGAATGACCGTTAAAATTCTAATTAGGTACTAATGGAAGGCGAAAATGACATCTATGATATAAAGTTTTAAGTCTATTAATGTATGCAGTCTATGCTCTTTTCAAAGTCTTTAGTTCTATAAGCCTTTAAAGTTGATATTACACACATTCTCCGCGGAGGACATGCAGAGTTTTAATCGACATTTTTACTGACTTTATTTGATGATATGGAACACGGTTTACTGCCCGCCTGGCCGATTTTAATAAGTTATAAATAAGTGCCGAGAACAGCTTACGGTTCATTGTCACTCGCTCTAATTGGTAAAGGTCGACGCATGCTATCCCTATGTGCCTATTATTCATCAACATGAACAGCGCTCGTTGGTTGCTATCGCACAAATAAGTTTCAGTAAAGTTACCAAATTACAGTTCTAGCCATGTTCAAATTTTTACTAATATTATAAATGGGAAAGTGTGAGTGTCTGTATGTTTAATTGTTTATCCGTGTATCACAATGAAACGGAGCGATGATTTGGCGTGATTTTTATAGTAGAGATATTTGAAAGGACACTCTCCAAGTGGCATAGACTACAAAACATCACGCAACGATCAATAGGAGTTCAGCAGCGGCTGAAACCGCGCGGGAGTAGATTATTTTTTGACGAAAAATATATGGGCGACGCCAATTGCTTACCATCAGGTGATCCGTCAAAAAAAATGTTTGTCTGTCAACCACGCTGAATTTACTGAATGGATTTTGATGAAATTTTGTATAGGAACAGCCAGGGTATGGCTTAGGTGATAGATTTTTATCCCGAAAAAATACTCCCATGGCATAAAACAGAAATACAAATGCTGCTGAAAAATGCTGACAAAGCCGCGGGTAAAAGCTAGTATTTTATATTTGACTACTAGTACCTATAACTACGATTTTGTTTATAGCTACAGCTGTACACTTATACAGTAAGCAGCGCACTGCACTCTTGTAGGCGATAAGCCGGGATCGCAATGTGATACTATGAAACGGCGGCGTCGGCGGATACAATTACATGGATATAATTAACCGTATTAACTCAATGGGCGACCTGACAATGTACAGCGATGTAGACGTGTTCTGTGTCAAGCCACTGTCATTAACAAACAGTAGTTCAAAATATAAACGTTATTGCGGAATTTTTAATTAAATGATAGATCAGGATGACTACCTCATTGGCCGAGTGGTCGAAAGTGCAACTGCTGGGCAAGGGATCTCGGGTTCGATTCCCGGCTCGGGCAAAGTAATGCTGGGGTTTTCAAAATTTCAGTAGTAGCACTGAGTCTGGAAATGTGCCCGGTGTATGGGAATAGGCTCACCCCCTATTACATGGGACTCATAACATAAATAGTGAAAAGTGGGTGTTACATTGTACAGTGGCATTAAGTGCCGTAATGTGCACCTCTGCCTATCCCTTTGGGGATAAAAGGCGTGATGTTATGTTATTTGATAGATCAGGATTCTTCACATCGTCAGTCATTTTTTATTTCAGAATCCGTAGATGGCAGTGAGTATTGCAAAACTAAAACATCAAATTATCTATTATGTACTAATATTATAAAGCTGAAGAATTTACTTGCACGCGCTGATCTCCGGAACTACACGATCGAATTGAATAATTATTTTTAGGTTGGATAGTTTATTTATCGAGGAAGGCTATAGAATATCACACTACGTCGCTACGGTCAATAGGAGCAGCAGGTGAAACCGTGAACAAGAAGCTAAAATGAATGCAACAAAAAAAATTGAAATAAGATTGACAATGTTACGCATACGACGCATTTTTTTTTTTTCTTTTTTTTTTTTTTTTTTTTTTTTTTTTTAAGGGGGGAAAATCATCGAATGACTGCTCCCGCCTGGGTGAGGCGGAAGGGAGTGTCAGACTCTTACTGACTAAAAACCACCCCGTTCCTTCTCCTGCACGTCGAGCCGGAGCCCCGGTTACCCGTTAGGTTCTCCGCGACTCCGAATCGGCATCGGCCCTATTGGGCCCCATCTGTGGTGGTCTGATGGCTCTTTGAGGCGCGCGCGGAACGCGACGCGCCGTACGCTCGGGTCTGTTTCTGGTCGGACGGGGAGCCACCCATGCTCGCCGTCCGCAGGCCCGCGCTTACGGTGGCCGGAGATCGTCCCGCGATCCCCGACGCCCGGTGTGTCCTTCGCGATGGCTGGGTTGCGAGGAGGCAGCGCTTCGCTGCCTCACGCGTCCCGCCTCCTCCTTAGCTAGCATGACTGCTTCGCAAAAGGAGGATACGGCATCCCAGTCCCCCTCGCTCCGCATCATGGCCTGCACTAGGCCCGGACGCGAGAGGTCGCCATCGCCGATCACTTCCCTGAGGGCACGGCGGTGCTCAGCCCACGCAGGGCATTCCGCTACGGTGTGTTCCACCGTGTCCTCAGGGCGGTCCTCGCAGTGATGACACCCGGGCGTTTCCTCCCGCCCCATCAGACACAGGTACCTCCCGAAACTTCCGTGTCCGGTGAGGACCTGCGTCAGGCGGTAGGTGAGGACGCCGTAGCGTCTCTCAAGCCACTCCTCAAAGAGGGGACTTACCGCTGCAATGGCAGCGAGCCCAGCCCTCGGTTGCGACAGTCGTTGCTGCCATTCCGCCATGAGATCGCGCCGGAGCTCATCCCGCCACGCACTTATCTGGCGCGGCAGCGGAGTTTCGCCCCGGCGACGTGCCTCCGCGCGCACGCATACGACGCATATAATTCCTTCCCTTTGTTCATTCGTGTCTGCAACCGCACGGGCCAAATAGGAATTTTTGTGCTATCTTCCCCCAAAACTGGTAATCGATCGCTCGATTCAAAATGGGAAGTGTAAGTTTCATTGTCCTCTTAATTTCCAGGATTGCAACGTAAGTAGTTAAGGTTATTTCGTTCATAGGTACAAGTCATGTCAAGACAAAAATGGGTGACCACCACGACAAAAAATATTTAGTGGATCAAAATCAGAGGTCTTAGTACGAGTTTCATTTACGTTTAAAGTATTACGAGTACGCGTTTGGCACTCTGATTGGCCGGCGCCAAATAACCAACCAATCAGAGCGCCAAACGCGTACTCGATACGATTACTTTATACGGAAATGAAACTCGTACTAAGGCCTCTGATTGGTCGGTTCATTAGAGCCGGCCAATCAGAGCGCCGAACGCGTACTCGTTACGATTACTTTAAATGAAAAAGAAATTCGTACTAAGACCTCAGATTCGTTAAACATTTGGCGACTGATTTTTATTTAACTACTAGCCCGCAACTTCGTCCGTGTAGAATATGAAATTAAGGACATAACTTTTTTGTTTCAATTTTCCAAAATAAAAGAACCTATCCTATGTTACTCCTTGGTACATCGTACATCAGCTACCTGGCAATAATAGTCCCATCAAGTTCGTCGGTCCAGCCATTAGCCAGTACAAACAGACATACAGACAAAAAATGTATTTTTTTTTATTATTTTGGTATGTGCATCGTATTCATATGCTTGTAGTAAAAATCGGTTACTTTAATATTACAAACATATATACAATTTTATTTATCTGTACAGATGTAGGATAAAATACAATGTAGTCATGATTAACATCACGATGTTGTGAAACATGCAAGCATTGTTTAAATAAACTTACGTTCGGTATAGGTAAATAAATATGATGCAGAGTTTACTATTACAACGTTCTGACGCATGTGTGGACCATTCATGACAACTGGGAGCAGTGCAGTGATGAATCGCTAACAACTTGCAGCCAGTCTCAATAAAGTATAGATAGAGGCGTTTCGCTGGGTTTCTTTATAACTCTACTAGCTTTCACCCGCGGCTTCGCTCGCGGCATTAAAGGATAAAAAGTAGCCTATGTGACATATTATATCAATACACACAGCGCCATCTATACCAATACTTTTGTTTTCCCTCGGGAATATCAAATTTTTCCGGAATAAAAAGTACCCTATTATTTAATCCAGACTTCTAACTTTACGTCTTCAAAAATTCAAAGCAATCAGTTTAGTAGTTACGGCGTCAAAGCGGAACAAACAAACAAACAAACTCACTTTCCGATTTATAATATTAGTAAGGATAGCAGTTCTGACTGGTCAGATTTTCATGAATTTCGTTTTGTTGTATCTATCTCCATGTCAATACGGGAGATACGAAGTTTTTCAGGACGCCCAGTAAATTTTAGCAACTATTTTAGATGAAAATGCTTGAGTACCTATTTGACTAACCAGATGCGAACTAACCTGAAGGAGTAGGCAACACTGAACTACTACTCTAATAACATTTAAATAGGTATGTAATGTGCATATTTGATTATCCTGGGATCCATAAAATAAATTAACACTCAAAAAAGTACTTTACTCGACTTCACCAAAATAAACGGTGGTATGATTCGACTAACAAGGTAGACTAAAGACACTGATTTATTGAAATTAAAATAAACTCTCATAGATGGGGACTACGTTCTAGTCGGCCGGAAGTTTAACCACTGTTAGCAGTAGTAGCATATTACAGTTCTGACTTGACTTGATTGGATCTCTGCCCGCCCTTTGCTATAGTCAAGCTCAATTAATGTTTTCACTCAATCATTTGAGCGTGGCATACAGTGCGCTTGGGGGCAAGTGTGTCGTTTGTATCCCACCAGACTGATTACTCTACTCTTTCTTTTGTTTCTCTCGGTCTCGGCGCGTCACTTAACCAAATGTTACCCCACATTATAATCTGTCTAAATATAAATTCATGTTTTGTTACTAAGCTCAAATCTCGAGAACGGCTAAACTAAACCAGCAATATTGTATCAAATTCTTTTTAATAAAGAATAAAAAGAGTACGGATGCCAAAATCTATTGGTATACGCTACAAGAAGAGTATCCGAGACATGTTAAATATTTATTTCATTCTGTTTTTAAGTTTAAAATATCACTGGCGCCACTAGAACACGTTACCAAAGTATCAACATAATCTGTTGTATTGTCAATAATATCCCACTAATCCTAAGTTTGTGAGTAAAAAGTACTGGACACATTGAGATCTTTGGTACAGAGCTATTTATTATGGGGTGGATACACATGGAGTAATTTATATTTTACGCTGGCTGAAGCTAGTAAACTATCAAGTTTTTTTTTCAATTATTGCACAGTTTCAAGTCATTCCACAATTTCCACATGTATGATGTTGAGTGTATCGCGAATCGTGTCGGAATGTTAGCTTCATTGTACCATAGCCTAAATAATTACCACAGATTAAGTGTGTCAAACGAAAGCGACTTAAAGAAATCAGATCTTTATGTTCATTGAGTGTTAATTCTTATTAAATGATCTTAATCCTTACTAATATTATAAATCGGAAAGTGAGTTTGTTTGTTTGTTTGTTCCGCTTTCACGCCATAACTACTAAACCGATTGCTTTGAATTTTTGCAGATGTATAGTTAGAAGTCCGGATTAAATAATAGGGTACTTTTTATCCCGGAAAAATTTGATATTCCCGAGGGAAAACAAAAGTATTGGTATAGATGGCGCTGTGTGTTTTGTTATATGTCACATTGGCTTTTTATCCTTTTGCGAAGCCGCGGGTAAAAGCTAGTTTAAAAATAAAGACGTTGATCGATTAGTTGAAAGTGTCTATTGAGGTAAGTGGTCTCGTCGTCGGCTTACAAATCCAGAATATTCAAAATTATACTTTTATAGCACAGGAAAGATTCATCAGAACTACCACCGATACGATGGGAAATTAAATAACGGCATAATGTGGATGGTATAAACATACCTACATTACATATACATAAATGTGCGCACTACATAATTATACATACAGTGAAACTTGGTTAAGTGGGACCTGGATAAGTGAGAAATCTCCATAACTGGAACTCATGCTTAAGTCCCAACACTTTGGCACTGAATTACCTCTGTTAGTGGGACGAGGTAAACCTCTATATCTGGGATTTGTTCTTTCGATTTATCATCATAGTTACCTCTATAACTGAGACAGCGAGTAAATTTTATATGCATAAACCTCTGTAACTGAGATAACATTGTTTGTTTACACATTCTTATTCTACCCACAAATTCCACACGTAATTCCAAGTCCACCTCTATTAATGGAACCCTCTGTAAATGAGACAGATATTTATTTATACCTGTATATCTGAGACACTGGGTAAGTGGAATACCTCTATAAGTGAAACGACATTGCAGGTCCCTTGATGTTTCACTTAACCAGGTTTCACTGTATTATGTGCACTTACACCTCATTTCCCCTTAGCAAACTATCATAAGCACTAAGCAGGTAGATACACCTCGGCTATAAGCAGGACTTACCCCTTCTCTCTAATGGAGTGAAGTTGCTTCGGAGACAGCGGCTGAGGTTCGATGCCCGCATCTAAGGCGGCTGCGTCAATCTCGTCGCACGGGGGCGCTATAATTATATCCGACGGCTTGTTACCCGGACCCGTGAATCGAGATGGTGGTAGCACTGCAAACAATACTTTATATTAGTATCAATCCACACGGATACACCTCTCGTTATAATAATAATTATCATAACATAACATCACGCTTTTTATTCCTAAAGGGGTAGGCAGAAGTGCACACAGAAGTTACACCCACTTTTCACTATTTATGTTATGAGTCCCATGTAATAGGGGGTGAGCCTATTGCCATATACCGGGCACAATTCCAGACTCCGTGCTACTACTGAGATTTATTTAAAAACCCAGTAATACTTTGCCCGACCCGGGAATCGAACCCGAGACCCCCGGCAGCCGGACTTGCGACTACTCGGCGAATGAGGCAGTAATAATAATTAACATTCTGCATAATGCTACATTCTATTCATGTTTTCATACAGTATGCACTTATGCAGTCAACAGTGTCTCTGGTAGATGTAATGTCTGGGCGCAATCAATACCCTCGATTCCTTCTTGTACTGTACGCTAAAACTATTAAAAAATAGGGAGCGACAATTTACCGGGGCTCTGCTTCAAAGAAGGAGTAGGGTTGTTTTTAGTCAATAAGATTCTGACACTCTCTCGCCTCACTTAAGGCAGGAGAAGTCATTGGATGATTTTCACCCTTCAAAAAAAGGTTTGGTTTATCAAAAAGTTGCTATTTAGTCTATGTTAAATGTGTTGTACAGTGTGGCCTCTTTAGTCAACTCATGTAATGAATCATGACACCCACGGGAAGAGTAGACATAGTTGTGTTACTCTGCTGTTATCACACAGCTGGTGGAGGACTCATTTTATAGAAAAAATATTTGTAAATTTGTATTATAACTTTCGTGAGACATACTATGTAAATAAATTATGTTTTCGGCTTACTCACATAATTATTTGACGAGGAACCGACTAGTCATATGATAGATAGCTAGCTAGATATATGAGCCTCTAGCATGGCTTGAAACTAGTTGAGTTCCTCGTCAAATAATTACATAAGTAAACAGAAAAAATAATAATATAATATTTGTAAACTCTAATACCTACATAAATAAATTATGGAAGCTAATTGTCACATCATAAAAACCTATATAAATAAGAACATGCTGCTATCTCAAACATTAAAGTGCTCAGTATTGTAATGGCATGACTTTTGGGGGCAATAAACATTGGCAACAAGTTCACCATCTAAATATTTTAAATTGAACATAATTATGGGCCATAATAAATTAAAGATGAACGTCACAGAGTGGTGATTGATTGTAAAGATGTCTCCTGGCTCGCTTTATAAGGTATTCAAAAACAAGTGCTCAGTTTGAACAAAATTCATTTAGAAAAATATTTCAAGAATATATAGAAAAATTAGGTTTTAAATAAAATATAAACAGTACTTTCTATTAAAAAAATATTTATAACTATTTAGATACAAAAAATATACAAACAAGGAATAAATAAAATTGCAGCATTTTCGTCATTTACTCTTAATGTAATTTTTAAGCATAAAACCTTTAATAGTTCATTTCTCTGTAGTTTCCAATTCACAGACACACAATGACAAAAAAAGTTCTCACCAATGGGGAAAGTTTTCCAGTGATAAAGGAAGTCTTCGGCGACTTGCTTGATATTGTTGACAAGTTGCTCGACTTCGGGTGGAGCGCCCACCAGCTGCACGTCGAAGTGCAGCGGCTCGCGCTCCGGCGACGGCGCTTCCAGAACCAGCGAGTTCGGGCGCGACGCCCGCTCGCCGTCCCCAGACATTTTCAGATATCCCGCTGCATCCACTTTACTCTCAATTCCCGACTCCCTAATCGCATAATGGTCGCAGTGGGCGGAGAAATCACTTTGCACCGACCTCTTATTGTTTTATTATTTACATTAATTTAATCAATTTAAAACTGCACATTATTGGTTTATGGAGTGCATAAGACATTTTATATAAGCTTTAAAACTTAATACTGATTTGTATTTTGTTATGTCCACTTATAAATAGGTTTTTGCAACTGAAATGAAATAATTAATATCAGACCCAGCCGCAGCCGAGCAGAGTTGACAATTTTATTCTAAAATTCTGTCTGATACGATACGATTTACGAAAAAAGTGACAGAAATAAGGAAATCGTGTAAAATGAACTTGTCAGTGATTGCGTACAATGAAACGTAGCTTCATATTTATTTCTTTAAAAATAAAAAATAATAACTATGTACTTAATTATATTTATAAACATCACAAATATTCAAATATTTTTTTTGTTGTAATTTAAAAACATGTAAAAATATTATATTTCTTAGGCTGAATGAAATGTAAACGCCTTTGACAGCTAAGCTTCCATAAAAAAATATACCCATATTGTCAATGTGGTAACTAATTTGTGGATTTGTTTGTTATTTACAATTTAATCATTTATTACGTGTTTCGTTGGTGAAAATCATTTGCATTAATAAAAAGAAGTACATTCCTCAATATTTAAGTAGAACCGCTAAAAAAAATTATATTTATACGCTAATTACGTCCGTTTTCTTGGAGAGCCTGAAGTTGATCGGATTAGGTATGTCCTACATAGCACATAATTTATTGTAGAATTTATCACTTATCACCCGCGGTCTGTGTTAAAACGTGTTTTTGCTCGTGAAAATGTATATATATTAGATTTAGGATAGGTAAGTTGCGTTTCATTTATGTATAATTTCGATTTCCTTTGTTTTGCTATAGTCATCCGTACTTTTTCAGTGCACGATGGAAGCAATGGATATTCAGGCTGTAGAATCGAAATTAAGTGACGTCACCGTTACGGCCATCCCCATGAGCGGCAAGAACATGCACAAAGAGCTGAGCCACAGCAGTAACAGTCAAGCAACAATATCAACCGTGCCTGCGACTTCTCCGTCTTCCATCGGCAAGGATAAGGACAACGGCATGTCGAAATACGCTCAATTACTGGCCGTCATCGAGGAGATGGGTAAGGAAGTACGTCCAAGCTACTCAGGTAGCCGGAGCTCTGCTGAACGTCTTAAACGTGGGATTATTCACGCCAGAATCCTTGTGAGGGAATGTCTTATTGAAACCGAGAGATCTGCAAGGCAATAGCTTGTTTATGAAACAATTTTCGCAGTCAATTTTAGTGTACCTTGAATCTTTGTTAGGCATGATATGATAATAGAAAGATTGTAAAACATGTTTGGTATTATGGTAGAACCTGATAATTGATGATATTTTTGACTAAACAAACTAGAATTACACAAAGAACAAAATGTTTGAAAGCACTTTAACTTAATGATAGTATTGTATTTACATATCGTCCCTTAGCTTACAACACCGCTTAAGTCATTTTTACCAACTTTACAGGAGACGAAAAAAACTGTCTAATTTAAATAATCTGTGTTTTTTTTTCTATTGCTACTTAGTACATACTCTAGTTAGCGGTTAAGAAATAATTATTTATACTTATTTTAACGATTTACTTTATTTTAACTTTTATTTTATGACTTGAGCGGTGTTGACTGATATTTTATTAGATTTAGGCGGTGTTGTTTGTGAAAATGTTAGGGATTAAGGTATTAAAAGATGATTTGCAAATAAAAACTTTAATTAAAAAATATTTCAAGAAAATTAACACTCTTTATCTTATCTTTAAAAGGTATCTTATCTTAAATCTTAGGAATCACATTGTTGAGATCAATTGCTTAAAGTTATTTAGTAATACAGAAACCTCTAGTTGGAACGTAAATGAAATAATATATTTTTTATATTAATAGGTAAATATTTTAAATATTAATCTGAGTTTAATAAACTCCAAAGAAATAACATAATTATAATACAAATAATAAAAAATACTCAAAATTATTTAGTCTTTAGTTTAGTTGCAGTCTTTAGTGATTGCTGTGTGGAAGGTCATCATAAAAAGAATGGCAATTAGATGGCAATACACTTTTAGGTCTTGCAAATCCTGATACTTCCGCTTTGTAATTGGTATTCTAGCTGCGTACAATTTCTGCAAGCTATTTATTTGTTTAATGCTGTTAATTGGCGTGGGGCGATGTGGTAACGGGTGAAGATCGTCATCAAAACTAACTTTATACCAAATTGTGCCATTTGGTCTGTATTCTAGCATACGTAAATCTGTGACGACAGGGTCACCTGCTTTTTTACCAGGTCTTATAGATTTATAAATTAATTCTTTCGAAAAGTCTGTAAAAAAACTATAGTCTAAATAACGAGCTTCGTAGGGCATAGGATCACTCCTAGCAGTTTTACTTATAGCCATGTATTGATGTGGAAGGTAAATTTCTTTACCTTTTAATTTACACTCTATGGCACTATGTACCGAATCACATTCCATGTGAGTATGGCCTTTTTCCAGGTACTTTTGAGTAATCAAAATATTTTTTTCAATCGCTAAACGTAATAAAGCATTGCTTAAGGTAACATTGCGATTTTGAGCACAACAACCATCGGAATATAAAACCACAGGCAATAATTTTATACTCAAAACCTTCTCTAGATGGTCTACTAAGCATGAAGCAAAAACAGAGGCTTCAAGCGTACTATTTGACTCATCAAACCAATAACACATTACTTCCTTAGTTGCTATATTGTATAATGTAAAATTATGGACGCATAATTTAGTTTTATAATAAATTGCACTAGCTTGAAGATACGGGGCTAATTTAACCGATTCCACATCCTGTGTGAACACGTGACAGGCTCCGGACTGTGCAATTCCTTTGTCAGTATCCTTCTCTTTCCTGGCTCGATCTTTCTTCAGAACATGTTGAGAGTATTCTTCATCAGTAATGTTTCCAGTTTTATGACTGCAACAAACGTCGCATTGATCTTTCTTTGGGTGGAATAGGCTAAGATTGAGTTTCAAAAATAATTTGTCAAATAATTTACGGCCAAGGCATTCTCTACCTCTAATTCACAATTATCTTTATATGCGTGATAGAGCTGTGTCATGTTCGAGAAAATTGGTTCTAAATATTCTCGTGATGTTTTAGCACGACAGTAATGCGACGGCATCTTTGGAAGATCTGCTAAAAACTTTTCAACATGTTTGTGTCTTCAATTTTCCCTGGATTTCTACGATTACTGGTTGAAGTAGACACATCGGGAGGCATAGCACAATCGGTTTTTGTCAACCAATATCTTATAACCAATCTTTAATTCCAAGAGTGGCCAAGAACATTTTTTTGCAGACTTGGTGACGAACATTATCAATCGTCAAAACGTAAGTTCGACTATCAGTTCTCTTGGATGATTCTGGATTTTTTGTAACTTTCTTCGGTACTTTATTAACGTGAGAAGTTATAAATGATCTTCGCTGCTCCAGTTCATGTTCTTCCAGAAATTTTCAAATAAATATTTACGCTGTTGCTCGTTTATGTTGTCACATGACCTGAGTTTGGATTTCTTGCAAAACGCAGAAGTGCATGGTGGTTTTATGGATCTTGCAGGCTTAAATACGTCTTGTTTCACTTTAAATGTTTCATTAATCTTTGCTTTTCTGTCTCTTCTGTAACTAAATAATTTTCACCCTTCATCCGTAATTCTTTTATTTATATTGCGTTTATATTTATTTGGATCTTTTGTCGCCTTGTTCTGTCGTTTTTTATGGCTTAACAAATCACCGTGATAAGCAACATTACTGAGTATGACCACTTTGAAGAACATGATGGAGTAGCAGAGTCGCTGGATTGCTGTATATTGTTTTGGATTGTTTTATTTTCATCTGTGTTAATTACTCTATCCGAAACTGGGTCTTGAGTATTCGTAGTTAAAGCTTCAATGTCAATATTTCCTAGTTCTTGTATAACGTTCTCACATTCTACCGAGATATTGGCTACATTCAATGCAGAAGGCTGAGGATACTCGATGGTCACTGTAGCAAATTCGGGTGGTATATGTTGCAGATCAAAGAAGTCATTACCAACTTTTTCTACAACTTGTAGATTGTGAATGTCAATTTTTCAATATTATCCAAGTCTATGTTCTGGTCAAATATTGTGTTTACATTATCCTGGCTACTTGTAATACTTTTTATAGACTCCCCGAAGCTTTGATCATTTATTGGTGTTGCAATAGTTTCATATTTATTAGTAGAATTGCATGCTTTAGTGTCAGAAGAATTAATGTTATTTTTTTATTCAAATCTGAAAAATAATTAGGAATTATTGCATTAAAAACAGTAACAAAAAATAAACGCGGACTCAAACAAACCCATAATACTAACCTAGTTTAATTTTTTTTTTATCTTCTTTGCTACTTTGTTTACTCCGTTTAATATGCCTTGACATCAGTCCTGATTCTTGTAATTGGCCAAATAACCATTCATCACCTGAACTAAGATCACTCCAGGAATCTATTTCTTCTCCATCCATAGCGTATTACAATTATTGAGTATCCAAAAAAATAAATTACATTTTGAAAACCGCCTAAGTTAAGAAAAAATATTTAGTAAACACCGCCTAAGTAAGTAAAGATTATTTTATCATTTATTTCTAAATTAATACGCGTATAATTAATCATTACTTTATTCTATAGCTTACCTCTTAATCTTCTATTTAAACTTCTTGCATAGACGTTTCAGCTATAAAATTCACATATAAATTGAATAATCACGGAGCGCGAAATATTTTCGCGAGAAAAGTATGACAGACTAACGACTTGTGCGGTGTTGCGACGCCAACTGACTTGAGCGCTGTCACTATTTTTTGAATAACGGCTTTTGATTGGCTGAAATCCGTTTCATGAGACCAATGGTTCGACGCGCAATGCGCAGCTTCATCCAATGGCATTAAAATGTAAAAACCGCCAATTTTCGACTTGAGCGGTGTTGTTAGCTAAGGGACGATATGCATGTTATACAGCATATATGGAGTGTAACATGAAGCTACGCTTCAATATGTGGTTCAAGCATGTCTCATGAAGTCACTGTTTTAATCACAATTTGAATGTTATTATTTGATATTAATTTTATTTGACTAGAGGCCAATGTTTGGAATATTTACAACAGCAGTTAATTATAACGATAAAGTAATTAATATTTATTTTAATGAAAAGGAAACTGGTAAAATAGTAATTAAAATTGGATTGTTCATTTGACATTAGGTAACTATTTCATAACATTTGTAAATGCAAACTATTTCAATGTGTTATTATGATATTCTGGAATTTGATATTGAATATTGGATACAAAATGGTAAACCATATTGCAATGGTAACCGAACAAGTAAAGATTTTGTTATTGATTCAAATTGTGAAAGATTCACAACATTTTCAACTTGTTTAGGGACACTGCTGAGTTTGAAACTTTTTATTTAGAAGTCAATTTGTCTATTTATAAATCTGAAGTGAAAATTGCAATAATACAACAATTGTTTTCTTTATGATTGTGATAAAAGCAATATAGAAAGTTCGCCCAGTGTGTGGCTTTTAAGCAATTTTCCTATAAGGTGTCATTTGTCGTTTCTTATTCATTAGAATATATAATTTCATTAATTTACATTAGCTACTGAATTTCACAAAAGTATTAAATTCAGCAGAATATTTTAAATGTCTAGTTTATTAGAGTTAAATATAATTCAGGGTACTTAGACATAAATTTAAGAGAATTTAGTTAAAATTTTGTGATACCCAACAATATTGTGAATTCATTATGTAAAATTGTATGAAGATTTTTTTGTAATGGCCTTAGGTACTTTTATAATAGAATAGCTGTTACAGCAACATATTTCTACTGCCAAAGAACCAATTCTCAGAATAATTATAAATACTTGTGTACCTACCCTACCTACATTCATTTTGATTTATAAGATGATTCTGTATCTTTACAATACAATTCTCTGTATATTTTTAAAATCTTAAGTATTTTTCAATAATAACACAGTGTTTAAAATGTTCTTTGATCTTTTAGAAATATTATCTTCCTATTTTATTTATTTGTACAACATATAGGGAAACATAATCACATATATAACTTTATATTTACTGCATATTCTTCTTGGAAGTCTTCCTACAGACTTGCAATAGGAAATATAATGATACAGATAAGCTTTATCACACTGTTTGTGTTTTGAGTACCGAAGGCCATTGCAAGCTCCAAAGAACAATCCGGTAATCTGGCTGCATGTTTATACTTGTCATGCATGCAGACTGAAGTAAGATATAGGGGTACTAAGCAACACCTACATTTCTTGTTTTGCTTACACAATTGCGACTTCCTTACTTCAGGTTGTCATGCATGACTACAGCACACAAATGTAGCTAAAATTTTATTTAAAACAATTTGATTTCATAGTGATAAGTGGTAATTGTAATTTTGGCAGTTGAGAACACTAGTTATCAGTCAATGGTTCGGAGACGTAGTTGGTCTGTTGTAGGCCTGAACACAGGCTGCACAGGTGTTGGGAATGTCTAAAAGTTCCCAGAAATCACAGCTGCCTCTTCAAACCATTCTATGTTAGTTCTAGCGCGTCAGAATGGTTAATGAACAGTTAATATGTCCTGAATTAAAACAGGCTGTGATTGCAACATTTATTGTGAACATCTACCTCATACACAAACAAAATATTAATATTTTAAATGTTTAATCATTGTCGTATATTTAAGCTATGGTGTGGCACAACTTTGGTATACTTTTTATTAATATACCGGAAGGGTGGCGCCGCTGAGTTGAAATTAAAGTATAGCTAATATGTATTGATGACGCCTGTGATATGGTTGGCATAATGACAAATTGTTGTCTGTTACTGTCCATAGAACATTTTATTTTTATTACACTGCTCAAGTTATGTCAAGTATCTTTGCCATAAATATTCAGTGGCGCCACATCCCAAAGTTACAAATCTAGAACATTGCACAATAAAGCTGATATTTGACTATTGCATGTAGTAGAAATGAAATAACTGGTTACTATTAATTTTTTGAGGATATTATGTTGATATTAATGGCAAATGGCTTGGTTGTTTGTAGTCATGTTTGTATATCCCAAAATCAAGCCTATCAGTGGTCAGACGAACAGAAAGAAACAAAACTAGAAACTGTTGACGTGTTACACCAGTCGAACACTGGAACTTGATCTTCACAATGTACTGATTGTTCTGTCCACTGTATTTGTGACCTCAGAATAGTTGATAAGAAAACATGCTCATTGATTTATGATCATTATCGTTTGATAGATGTTAAGTTGTATATATTTAGTTGTAGTGCCTACCATTCAACGACAATAGTTCAATACTTTAGTATAGGCGGCGTCCAATTGTTAATTTTTTGATGAAAATGAACTGCAATTGCAAAGAGTTACAGTACAAAATACTGTCTATGTACAGTAAATAAAGTCCTCAAGCAATTGGTATTAGAACAAATATACTCAAAAAGTACCACCGATTTTAAACTATACACTTCTGAATAGTACTCTTTGCTCGTCTGTACTGGTCCATGTTCAAATTATAGGTCTTTCGGTCCAACTGCCGTCAAGTATACTTCTTAGACTAGATAGATGTAAGAAGAATTTACGAAGTAGATTTTAAACTCTTATAAAATAAGTTACCATTAATAAATAATGTACTTACGTAAATAAATGTTATGTAAATGTAACCCTTAAAGTCCATTTCGAGCGATATTTTTGTATATTTTATCTTGATTTTTTTATATAATATTTTAACATTATAGTCTAAATTGATTTGCTTACTTTGAATTTTGAGGTGCAGTCGTCATTAAACTGAGTTTGTTTATAAAGGTAAATGCGAATATAATTTTGTATTTTCAACGAATAATATTTTATTTCATTTAGATCATTTCATCAAAGTTTTGTATGTTTTTAATTTATATTTTCCATGACTGTCATTCAGTTCAATTTATATTATGTTTTATATATTTGGTTCACGATATAGAATTGTCTCGACATCACTAAATTCTAATACATAAAATATAATGTCATGCACATTTATTTACTGTAAAAAATAGACTTAAACAATTTAGATATAATAGGAATGGTGGCAATGTACAAAAGCATGCTCCTTAGCGTGCCAGTTAAATATAAAGACGTTCATATTTTGGTGCACTATATTTCTTAACATCTTACATAAAAAGTAACCAGTTGGTCAATCTAATCTGTCCGTTTTTTCGTTGTATTTTCGACTTTATATCAAAATAATAAAGTTGAAATCTGCTAAAAAAATTGTCAGAATTGTAGGTTGACCTGGTCCACATGACTTAAATTTTATTGTCATCATCCTTATTATAATAATAACGACAATATGAAATCAATTAGTATACGATTCGTAATTAACTGTATACCCATGTAGGAAACATAAGCAGATCTATAATTCTTCTAAACGGAATGTTATATTTTAATATATCCCCGATTAAATTATTGGATTCCTAGTGTTTATGTCATGAGAGTATATTTACATATCGTGGTATTTGATTGTACAGTGATGGTCGAAAAGATGTAACCTTCTAATGTCACCACATTTCTTCTTGCAGCAGTAACCATATAAAGTTATATTCTTCTTTAACATTGTGTTGGATATAGAAAACTATTACGTGTTTGTGTCTGTATACCTACAAGTTGAAACATTAAACTACTTACAACAAGTAATGATGATGTATAAAGTTGGAACATCTTTTGATCTTCACTGTACTACAAATGTGCACATGTGTTTTACACATGAGTAGGCTGGGTATATGAAGCGAACCTAACAACTTCATAATTACCTGAATTATACGATATAAACAGTGATAAAACAATTAGTTCTATATAAAATATATTTGTTATACGTTGCAAAGCATACCAATACAAATTAGAATTAATGTAATTTTGAATTATGCATTTTATTACGATTTTTAACACGACGTCGTGTGGTCTTGTCTTTGCGATAAATATGCGCATACGATAGTGTAATGCAGAGTTTGCATTAAATATTACTCAATATTAACATTTCAATAATTTGTTTAAATAATAAAGAGGCTGATTATAGTGAGAATAACAATCTGGTCCTTTTAGCTCAAACAATAAATTGTTATTGAATATTTTAGTTTTGACTAGTAATGCATGTTACCTACTTATTTTATTAAAAGTTACAAAAAAAAATACATAGCAGAAACAGATGACACGCCGTCGTCCCTATAAAGAATCGTGATTATGGGACAGTCCTATATTGTATGATTAATACTTCGTTTATGTCCCAATGTAATATGTAAGTTGCGAACCACAACACAGTACAAATTTTATCATATTATTATCTATTAATCTACATGTGAAGCAATGGATGTAATGGAGGTATAGTTTGCTCGTCTTTATAATGTTAGTAATTATTCATGTATGGGCATATTTTTATTACAATAAATGGGTTTAAAATAGTATTCTCGTATTTTTATTGATGTCCTTTATTTCCTTACTATTCTATTTTTACCACTATAATAATTTGTCGGTTGTATTAGTTCGCATGTAAAGGTCTTATTTTTTTTGGTGGATATGTTTGCTCAAGATTTTGAGTAGAGTTTCAGGAGTATGGCTGTTTGGCAGAATAAGTGGCGCTGGGACACGGGGTACAGCGCCGACTCTGTAGAGTGGTGTCCCGTAGAATCATACCGAGACGTGCTCGTCTGCGGAACTTACCAGTTAGACAATACAGCTGAAGGTAAAATGTCACATTGATGCGTACCTACCCAAATTGTAATACATAAATTAATGTCTTGATCTAATCAATCTACGATGCAAGTGCCACACTTGCATACTTCTACACTTTAGTTCCGGTCTCTTCTGGTCATCCATACATGTCGATAAAGGGTGCTATGCACTTGGCCTTTTTCTAGATAACATAACATCACGGCTTTTATCTCCGAAGGGGATACCACTGTACAATGTAACACCCACTTTTCACTATTTATGTTATGAGTCCCATGTAATAGGGGGTGAGCCTATTGCCATATACCGGGCACAATTCCAGACTCCGTGCTACTACTGAGAATATTTAAAAACCCAGTAATACTTTGCCCGACCCGGGAATCGAACCCGAGACCCCTTGCCCGGCAGTCGCACATACGGCCAACGAGCCAGTCTTTTTCTAGATGCAGCATTATTAATTAACTACAATATTGGATGCCAGGATTATTTGATAAAGTTCCTATTTTTTCTTTGCAGGCAACACGGCATCGAAACAAACGAGATTAGGCAAAATATATTTATTTGTTATAAACGAGAACACTGAAGTGTTGGCCCCTGTTCATTCAATTGACACCGCAGGGATATTGGACCAGAAATGGTGCTACCACAACCTACAAAACCGCCCGACACTTGCCGTTGTAACATCCGTTGGTACTCTGCAACTTTACCAGTTGACCAATGAAGACGGAGTATTACAGTTGGCGTTATGGTTAGAGCACACGATTTGTGAGAATGGGTTAGCTCTCTCCGTTGATTGGTCGACTAATAAAAAGTATTCAGATGAACCTTATCTGGCAGTCAGTGATTCTGCCGGTTGTATTCATATTTTAAGAATAGTAGAAAATTGTGTTAAAGCCGTAGGTAAATGGAAGAGCCATAGTTTCGAGGCTTGGATCACAGCATTTAATTACTGGAACTCTGACGTATTTTATTCAGGTTTGTAAGTTTCACTAAATTCCTTTTATCACCTCGTTGTTGTACCTAAAAACGTTTTGATGCAAGTAAATTTAAATTCATTAAGTAAAATAAAATCGAAGTCTTACTGTGCAATTTTGACATACAAATTAGATAATAATAATAAAAAAAAACATACCTAAATAGTGTTATATAAATCCATCCCATTATTGTAGGGGGCGATGATTGTGTATTCAAGAGTTATGACGTTCGAGTCCCTGATGTTTCCACGATTGTGAACAAGAAGCACGAGGCTGGCGTCACCTCGATAAGGAGCCATATTGACGAGGAGTATCAGCTACTGACTGGCAGGTTTGTATTAGCGAACCTAAGCTATATACTACTAAAATTAGGGCTTAAAGAAATAACATTAATGCAATCAGCATTAAGTGAGAAGATACCATTGCTCAGCAGCGGGCAATTATAGCTTTTTGGGGACGATAATATCAACTTTGAACAGCCTATAAGTGACCACTGCTGACCAAAAACCTCTTCTCAGAGGAGGTTTGAGCATACCAGCAACCGCTTGAATGCCCGTATATGATACACAATAGAAAATACATTGTGTCTCGCGTGGATCCCCGTTTAGACACGACGGGTTAAGCACCATGCTTGATCAATGCAGGTTGGCAATTTAAAACTTGTTTTCTTACCCAGGTTTCCTTACCATATTTTTCTTCACCATTTATCAGTGGAGTTTAAAGAATCTTAATCTAAACAATCTTTTGAACAGGACAAAATAATCAAATGACTTTTCTAATCCCGTCATGGCATGGGTGAGGCGAGAGGAAGTCTCTTACTGACTAAAAAGCACCCCGTTCCTAGCCGGAGCCCCGGTAACACACATATAGCCTGATGTTGTTCGTTTATATTTCAGTTACGATGAAAAAGTTCGTCTCTGGGACACGAGGAGTTTAAAATGCAGCGTGCGAGAGCTGGATGTCAATGGTGGCGTGTGGCGATTAAAATGGCATCCAAGCAAGCCATGCACTGTCCTAGCGGCCTGCATGTACGGCGGGTTCCGTATACTACGCGTCAACGACGAAATAGAGATCCTTAGCGAGTATTTAGAACACGAGAGCATCGCATACGGAGCTGATTGGAAGTGCAATAGTGACCTTGTAGCTACTTGCTCATTTTACGACTGTAAAATGCATGTCAGCCAAATTATCATGTAATTAGTTAGTAGTAGTTTTTTTATACTTTGACTGCCTCGTTGGCCGATTGGTCACAAGTGCGACTATCGGGCAAGGGGTTTCGGGTTCGATTCCCGGGTCGGGTAAAGTAACACTGGGTTAAAAAAAAAATATCAATAGTAGCACGGGGTCTGGAAATGTGCCCGGTATATGGCAATAGGCTCACCCCATATTACATGGGACTCATAACATTAATAGTGAAAAGTGGGTGTTACTTTCGTGTGCACCTCTGCCTCTACCCCTTCGGGGATAAAAGGCGTGATGTTATGTTATGTTGTAGTTTTTTTAGACGATTTTTATTGAGACAAGTAATATTACAAGGAACGAGGTGTAGATAGGTTACCTAAACACCATTCGATACTCAAAAACGGCACACCAACGCCCACGTGAATACGTTGACGGCGCAACGCGACACTGAGGTCAACTTGTCGGTCGTAGAGCGGTTATAACCAATGTATCCCTTTTTACTTATCTAGAGTTATATTATAATATCATTGAGACGATATTGTAATAATATTATGTTGTATAATATCTGAGAGTTAGAAATTATAGGCATATAGCTATTATAATTATGGAAGTAAGCTTTATAGGAATAATAATTGACATTGTTACTCTTCACTCACTCAGTTGCAAACGGAATGTTAGTTCATAGATATTATGAGTTATTTCCGAGATTCATTGTCCTGAATAAATAAAAGCATATTATTAAAATGTGTGTACTTCTACTTATACTTTTTTGAATTGATCGGCGGCAATTTTACTTTTTTAATCGAGTGATCGCAAATGTGATTGCCGCTGGGGATTTCGGGTTGATTCCCGGATGGGGTTAAACTTATTTAAGTTTTTTTTACGACTTTATTGACGATGTATGCAATACATAATTCCCGATGAATGGTATAATAAGTAATATGATCTAAAGACCTTACCTATTACATTTTCTAGATTAAGTAATTGCTGTCAATGAAATAAAAAGCAACACATTCAAGTAAATATTCTTTTTTTTTCATCTGTAATACATAGAGGGCGCCAATATTTTACAATAAATTTGAAGTGTGTTCAATTGATTTACTAATTTACGGACATATTCGCAGACAAAGGCTTTTACGCCACAATAGTTGTTTTTACAACACCCTATGTTGTCGACATTACTGTCAAAAAATCTTGATTTATAACTAGTAGGGGAGCCCATTATAAAATGTCAGTAGTTACTCAAGCGCGTTACATTAGCATAGTAATATTATGGGGAATACCTAATCTTGTTAATTATACCCGCCGTGTACCTGATCCGGTCATCTCTGCCGCATGTGAGACGAGCGGTGGGCAAAACACTATTGAGTGGAGCCCGCTCAACGTCGATAGACGTCCTGGGAGGACTAAAAAAGCCGTCCGACCGCTGGCAGGACGAACTGGACATCTATAAGAAGGATTGCCCGAAAAGCTTTACATAGAGAGGAGTTGAAGGAAGAGTGTTTTGCAGTGGGACGATCATGGCTGAAATAAAAAATAAATACGTGATCTAGATAGAGGAGGAGATTTCAATAAAATAAAACTAAATATACACAAGTATTTTTGGACTACATTAATAATAATATCTCAAATGAATTGCATTTATACATCTCTGGATTTTAACGTAATTTACGACCGTAATAACTAGATTGATCTAGATTTTTGACAAAACCTCCTTAGGTCCAAAGGTCTTGGAATAAGATAGCTTGTTAAGTTCGCATGTTAGATAGTTCGAGGGTTCTGAAGGGATCTCGATACTACATCTGCACGGCCACCGCCGCCCGATAAAGATATTTACATCCTCATTGTCAGCATACAGATAATGCTCGCGCACGCTCGAGCATTAAAACAAAATGTACGTTTGATTTTAAAGAATTGCAACCCCTCCACTGGTGGAAAGTGACATCAAATAATATGTTTTACATTCTATCACCAGATCTTCAAATTATAGTAGGTAAATTGTATTTAGCACTGTAGGCTCCCCTACTATTATAAAACTTATCATTTAGCAGTGCTGTCAATAAAATGATAAGTACTCAAACTGAAAATTAGACAATCTGTAATTATAATTTTAACCGCCACAGTCGGCTACAGACTACAAACAAAAACTGGACCAATCTGCCACTGTTGGCCATAGCCGACACACCAACGTCATCTTATTATGTACTTACATTTTATTTGTCGTCTATTATAGCCGACCATAGTGAATAAAAGTTTAAGGCAAATTCCTTTTCCAAAGCAAACGGAACAAAATACATAATAAATAATAGTCCAACTGTCATTTTAAACATGTTGTATTTCAATTTGCTTATAATGTCATGATAAATATAATTTATAACAATTACATACTTAATAAAGTAATCATTTGCCATAAGTGATAAAAAAAAAATCATACACCATTTACATTTCAAGGCTTTGGATGTTGTTCATTGTTCGTTCGAGTCCATGCGTCAATTGTCCGAATAAATTTTTAAAAACACTAAACTGGCCTGATTCTCCCTACTATAAATTTGTACCTTAACATTTTCTAAATAAAGTCTATTTTTCTATTCACTGGAATTAAAGTACGTAGCCAACGTCGTACGAAGCTGGCGTGCTCACTGTCTGGCAAACGAAGACAGCGCCTTATGGTACCCTTATACGTCCACACTTCAAACGTTCCATAACAACTACTGTCCAACTGTAACTCAGTAAAATTATACTACATATACTTCTGTATCTATTTAACATATAATTTGCTTGCATTATTGTTCCTGTTGGCAGTATCGGTGAGACGACCACTATCAGTATATACATATGTAAGAAAATATCAACATGCCCCGCGGTCCACGTGCGCGGCGGGTTCTATTATAACTCGGTGAGCACGAAACATTTGAAGTATCACGTTTAAATTATGTAAGCGTAAAGTTTTCGGTATAAATAACCATTAAGTATAAGAGCGCTACACACATTGTGTATTTATTTATAATCCATCGATAACAATGCAGTATCCACAAACATACATATTACTCCATTACCAAGCTAAAAATGTAAATTTTCATAGACCCCAAAACGATTTTAATATATTTTTTATTTAAATCACAAGACACTATTTATTTAGACTAGTTTTTGATACTATAATGGCAACTAAACAGTTGTTTATTTATTTATTATTATATATTTTTTTACATAAAAAATATACTTATTACATCCAAGGTCCATTTATTACTTTAAAATATCACTGCATTGTTACATGACCATGTAAACAATCGGGAGTTGTATACAACAGATAGTCCATGATGAGTACACGTACACTAAAACGAAATATAAAACGTCGCAACCAGTACGTCTCGGAGTAATTACAAACGAAGGGAGATTTTCAATTTAATATCGAACGGCCCGGTGTACGGACTCACCACGACCCCGTCCCCTCCCAGCGCGCGCTCGGCCGGCACTATAGCGGCGCGTGGCGCGGGCACAGCGCGCGCAGCTCGGCCTCGGCCAGCCGCCAGCCCGCCGCCGCCGCGCACGGCACGTGGGCGCGCGCCCGGCAGCCGCGCCGCGCGCACGCCAGCGCCGCGCCCGCCGCCGCGCAGCCCGCGCAGCGCGAGCCGCGCGCCGCCCACACGGCCGCGCCCAGCCCCCACAGCCGCGCGCCCGCCGCCAGCACGCCCGGCGCCCACACCGCGCACGCCTCGTGGAACCACGCCTCGGCCGAGCTGTAGCGCCGCCGCGTCGCCTCGTCCAGCGCCCTGTCGCCAGTAACTACTTCATATACCTTACATTTAACTATCTCTCTGCTCATTTCGCCACACGCCGCTCAAAGCTTTTGTTCAAATAACTTAGTAATTCTCTCATGTAGTTGGAAGGCACTCTCAGATCAACTTACTTTCAGTGAGACCATGGATAAGATCAGTCTCAACATGGAGTTTCGTTATAACATAGAAGCGTGGGAATACCTGTACTCGTCGCAGTCGTTGTCGAGTGTGTATGGCCCGAAGAGGTCCCCGAGCGAGGCCGCATGCGGGCCGCGCTGACAGAAGGCACAGAGCCAGGTGGCGTCAGGCGTGCTGGCGTCGTATCGCAGACCCAGCGTGGAGGCGTGCAGACCTCTCACGCCCCTCACGCCGCGCACGCCGTTGCGGAAGTCCTCGCCCCCCTTTCGGCGTGCGCCCGCCTCCTCCTCCTCGCCGGCCGTCGTCGTGTTCATCACGCTCACTGACAGGGGAGAGTCCCGCGGTCCGCGTATCTATAACGGTTACGTACATACATCACTATATAGTTTAAAACGAAGACGCTTTCCGCTGACAGCGGAAAGCTTTTATAAGCTGTATGTCCTTCAAGAACTATAAATAAATAAGTGTTGTGAACCTGTATGTAGGGTCCCCGCGACTTGCTAGAGCTGGCGTTGCTGCCGGAGTCGTACGCGTCGCGTGCCTCGCGCGGCCCCTTGCGCGGGCGCCGGGCATCCGCCTTCTTGCGCTGGGCCTTCTGTGCGCGGTCCGACCGCGCGGGCGCTGACCGGCGCCGCTTGCGCGCGGCCGCGGGGGCCGTGGCGCCCGCAGCGCCCGCCGCGGCCGAGCTGGGCGCCGCCGCCTCGTCCGCGTCCCGTCCCAGCGGCTCCTCCTCCAGCCCCGCGAACATCTTCTCTAACTGGTTCTCTACTTCTACAAAGCTGACGGCGGCCGGCTCGGCAGTGCGCGCGTCGCTCGCTTCAGGCTCGGCCGGCTTGCCTTCCGAAGGAGATTCCACGGGTACGTTGGGAGCTTCGGGGTTAGACGTCCGTGCACTACGACGGCGCGGGGCGGCGGCCGGCGCCGGTGGGGGCGCGGGTTCCGTGGCCGGCGCGGGGGGCGCAGGCGGCGCGGTAGGCGCGGGGGGCTCAGTAGGCTCGCCGGGCGCTTCGGCGGGCGCGGGTTCGGGCTCCGGTACCGGGTCACGCGCGCCGCTTCGGGGCTAGCTAGAACGCTGCGAAGTTTGTCCACAGTGACGGCGGCGGCGGGGGAGGGGGGCGCCATGGGTGCCGGCACCGCAATCGGTGCGCGATCTGTGTCTGCTATCATGGCGGCGATATCGTCTATCGTCTCGGCGGAGCCGGAACGTGTTTTTCTCCTAGCATGTGGCTGGTCGGGGCGCGGCGAGGCGGGCCGCAGTTCGGCCACGTCGGGCGTGACGTGCGCGTCGCCATTCTCCCGGGGGAGCACCGGGCCCGGGGCGGGGCTGGCGGCGGGGGGCGCCGGCGAGGGCGCGGGGGGCGCGGGGGAGGGCACCGGGGGCGCGGGCGGCGGAGGTGCGGCCGCCACTCGTACGGTGCGCTCTGGCTTGCGTTTCCTCTTGGAGCCAGGCGGGGCGCCACACGAGTCCGCAGAGTCCTGGAATGACATGATATAAGTGATCACTGTCAATTTAGTATTACCAATTCCTGAACAACTTGATTTATTAAAAAAAACCTTTTAAGCTTAGATTTGCAAGGTTTCCACATATTATTTAAATGTTGTATTGACTTTTAAACAGACTGCATTTATTGATTTTAGTTTTTCGTAAAGTGAACACGTCAAAATGGTATTTGGGCATCGAATGCGCAAAACAAATACAACAGGTAAGCGGCGAGTGACCTCGTTGGAGGAGGGCGGCGAGGGCGTGGGCGCGGCGCGCGAGTGCACGATGACGGAGTGCGGCGACACTGGCGACGGCGCCAGGCGCTCCAGCAGCGCGTCCACGCGCGCGTGCGGCAGGTGCGAGTGCGCGTGCGCGTGGCGCCGCGCGATGAGGCTGTTGATGGTGGGCGCGTCGCGCACGGACAGCGCGGGCCCGGCGGGCGGCGCGGCGGGCGCGGCGGCCGGCGACGTGGCGGCGCCGTTGGCCGCGCGCCCGCCGCCCAGCGACAGGTCCACGCCCACCCGCGTGTACGCCATCAGGTCGTCCGCGCGCAGCTTCTCTGCTGTAATTGTAACACAACGAAATTGAACAATGAAAGTTATATAACCCGTACTTGCTTTAAACTAAGAAGATGTTGTTTGCCTAAGGCGCAATAGCTCTTATACGAGTGAGACTGTTCGATAAATTATCCACGATCGAACACGTTCTGCTGATCTAGCAACCCACGACACGCTAAGTGCAGCGCGGCTTCAGTACATATTCGGATTCGGACAGCAAACCGGGTACGTTCGTACTCATTAACATAATATCATTTAGCGTAATTTTACCGTCTATATCACTTCGGAAGCGCCTCCTACAGAGTCACAACATGAAATCTAGGTGTAAGCTATATTTGTATCTAAAGTAGATAATATTACCTCTCGAAGGTGCCAAATGTTGATATAAGTCTACTGGTGGTAACGCCGCACTCGCCTTAATGTCGCCTGGGGATGGAGTGTGCCTGAAAACGTATCGTACAAATATTTACGTACTTGTTTGAAAATAAAAAACACAGGAACCGACAATAGGGTATAGATTAGAATCGTATCAATAGTAGTGCATTCCTATATAACATATAGGATGTTTATTAAAAGATTTTTTAATGAGTAGTTCAAAAGAACTAAATGTCCCGACGAACTTCATGTTCAACTAGAAAACGCCCATTGCTTATAACTCTCGCGTCTGGTAGATTAATTTAAATCACAAAATTAAATACTTTCGATGATATATTAATCTGAAATATCCTGTGACGTCTGACGTCACAACGCTCTACATTTTGTAGCACTTTGTGACGTAACGACCTCCCACTCGTAAACTTAACTCCATTTTATCTAAGTATTGTACGAGAAAATAAAAAAAAATACGTGTCTAATATTTTTACATTGTCTAACTGACGGACTAATTAGATTTTTAATTTTCATTCCCTGGCAACTACCATATTGTTTAGGGTTCGTACACAAAACTGCGATGCGATATTTTAAATTGAAAAGGAGGTCGTGACGAAGTGTGAACTTCTGTTATTGCTTAGGAGATACAGGAAAAAGAAACAAAGAAGATTTTGGAAAGATAAGGTCTCGATGCGCGAAGCGAATCAATTCGCAAGTTCTTGCGATGCGTAGAGGGAGCTCGCATATTTTTGCGATGCGACGTCGCATGGCAGTTTTGTGTACGAGTACGAGCTCTTAAAGTACTAAATTAGATGGCTATGTTATATAGAACTTACCTCATGTGATGTTTGTCTGGTGGGGTGGGTGTGTGTCTGTACAGTTCGGGCGGGGTGGCCGTGTGTCGGAACACTGAGTTCCCGCTGGCGGACTTTAACGCCTGCAATTGCAACAGACCCTACGATAGTAATCGATAAGGTAGATTAATATACAGAAGTTAGTAGTATGCATAATAGTATGATTGTTATTTATATGGATTGTCAGTATACATATGTGAGGACCATGTCAGACTTAAGATATTTGTTTTCTCTTGGTTTTGTTTTTTTATTTTAGTACGTTCTGCTATTTGTATGTTGCGTCAGGTATGTCTTTACATTATTCTCACATGTGTGTACAATATTGGAATATGTATCAGAGCAATGTAGTTTCTTGCTCGTTCTTCTCCACTCGAATCGACATTTTGGAACGAGCGCCTAGCTTCACTGACGGACAGACTGACAGACTATTATTTATTTCATATTTGTTGACGTTTCAAAAGTACCAAATTAAGGTTTAATTGAAATAAATGCTTTTGAGTTTGAGTTTATATGTGTACAATATTTTAACAATGTAACAGAATAAACGCAGGGTATGTTAAAAGAGTAACGAATGGATTTACTTGCTCGTTCTGCTCCATTCGAGTCTACATTTTAGAATGAGCACCTAGCTTCACTGACAGACTATTATTTATTTTGTACTAGCGACCCGCCCCGGCTTCGCACGGGTGCAATATGCATGTATTATATATATAAACCTTCCTTTAGAATAATTCTATCTATTAAAAAAACCGCATCAAAATCCATTGCGTAGTTTCAAAGATCTAAGCATACATAGGGACAGACAGACGGCGGATAGCGACTTTGTTTTATACTACTTAGTATAGTACAGTATAAATACTACATAGTGATTTGTTGACATTTCAAAAGTACCAAATTACGGTTTTATTGAAATGCTTTGACTTTGCCTTTGTATTGTAAGGAATTACACTTTAGGGTACTGTTACACACGCTACTTTTAAGCACGACAGCATGTTTAAATTGATCACTTGTCACTTAGTAGCATGTGTGTCGGAGTTGCTCATATCGGGCGTGCTTGCAAATCGACAGGTGCTTCATATTTGAACATTTTAGTACACAACAGTACCTTTAGATTCAGAATATTGAATAAAATTTTTAGTACGTTATAGTTGTTTTGCGATTTACATCAATTTGTATGTAAAATGCATATTCTTAGATTTTCTCACGTTTATTCTGTTACACCTAGGGTAAACTCTTGTACAAACAACTGTAGAACAAAATTGACATTCGACAGTTAAGTACGGAAGAATTGTCAAATATTCAGTTATCTCAGTTACATTGTGCGATCTGGTATTTTCAGTGCGATCTGCAACATGGCATCAACTATATTGCTAGCTCAAACCAGGGCTCTGAGGTAACACGAACATAAATCAGTTTTTTTGAAATGAATCATTCAGAGTATTAAAAAATATTGTATTTGTTACATTATGATTAATGTTAAAATCTACAATGAGAACGAAAACCAATCCCAAAACTATGATCTTAAATTAAATGATTGAAACTCCTTGATAGTTGTTATTTGATGTTAATTGAAAATGGTAACTTAGCACATTTTATTATCCACCTTTGACCATGATCCATACATTTACAGTAGAATTATAAATATTTTTCGCTTTTTGCAAATTTTCAATATCAGCATACTTAGCATAGCTAAAGCTTGCACCCCATTATATGGAACTCGTGCCACAAACCAAAACTGGCCAAAGATGGGTATTATTAAACAAAATATTTGCACCCATGTCTATTTTAAAAACGGTACGATGTTATGTAGTTACTAAATCATCATGCAAAATCATATAATGTATCCAGGCGGAAGCTAGAAGAATATAAGTACCTGAAGGGGGTCGGGGGGCGAAGGCGCCGGTACATGGTAGAGGTGGGGCGGCGGGGTGGGCGTGTGCCACGTCACGCCGCGGTCCGACGCCATGTGTGCCTGCGGGGCCCGCGCCAGCAAGTTCGCCATCTGTAACTAATTTACCAACATTTTCATTGCGTACACCATTTTACATACTGCATCCTAATCAAATCAAATTCATTTGCTCAAACACGTGTGCATACAATAAATAATTGCATGCAAGATAGTGGGTAACAGTAAAAAAGTTCGGGACATGTTTGCCGTGCAGACAGAGAAAACTTTGTCTGCACGGTTGGTGAGGTGGCTGCGCAACTGGCTGCCATGCAACGTGTCGTGGTTTCGAATCCCACACGGAACAACGGTGGTCCACGGTCTGATCCGAGTCTAGGTGTACTGTCTAGTGAAATTGTATGTTTGTAAACGCACCCACGACACAGGAGAAAATCCTAGTGGGGGAAACTTTTTTTACAAAGTATTCCAAATGACCCATTAAGGCACATGTGAAATATTACTAGCTGAGAATTATTTTACTAGCTGATTGCGTTTTGTATCCTTACTAATATTATAAATCTGAAAGTGAGTTTGTTTGTTTGTTCCACCTTCACGCCGTAACTACTCAACCGATTGCTTTGAATTTTTGCAGACGTAAAGTTAGAAGTCCGGATTAAATAATAGGGTACTTTTTATCGCGGAAAAAATGATATTTCCTAGGAAAAACAAAAATATTGGTATAGATGGCGCTGTATGTACTGATATAGATGGCGTTATATGTCAATTAAAACCAGTCAACGAATTACCTACTTATTGGAAAAATCTAAATAGTGCGATATAACCGAATTCCACGCGAGCGGAAAGCTATTTGTTTGTTTGCCTGTCTTAAACGGCAGAACGGAGGTACTAATTAACGTGATTTTTTAACTGAAGGTAGTTGAACGGATGGATAGTCACATAGGCTACTTTTTATCCTTTTGAGACGCAAGCGAAGCCGCGGGTAAAATCTAGTAATAAATAAAGATTAGGTTGCAAAATGCAAAATATTTGCAACTTGAAGTTAATATTTTAGTTCTATTCACACTGCCAGTGTCATGACTGACCTAATTTTGGACTGAAATAGCCAGATGTGTCTAGATCCATAGTAGGTTAGCTATATTTATTTGTAGTAAAAATGGAACTAGATAGATAAGGTATGGTTACAGCCAGAACATATAACCGAGGCACACATAGATCTACTCATGGATATACATAGGGTGCTCATAATTATCAAAAGTGCCTTAATGTCTAATTAAAAAAATGATCTTGACTTTGACTTTCAAAATCTTAAAGCTGTAGAGTTTGTTTATTTGAGCGCGTTAATCTCCAGATCTACTGGTCCGATTTGAATGATTCTTTTTGTGTTGGCTAGTGCATTTATCAAGGAAGGCCAGTATAGGATATCAACCATTACGCATAAGAGCCGCGCAGCGGGTGAATTCGCGCGGAACTAGCTAGTTATTATTATTTTATCAGTTTAGGTAGTGCGACTCCCGGGTCGGGCAAAGCATTACTGGGTTTGTAAAAAACCTCAGTAGTAGCACTGAAAAAGAGTCTGAAAAAGTGCCCGGTATATTATGGCAATAGGCTATTACATGGGACTCATAACATAAATAGTGAAAAGTGGGTGTTACATTGTAGTGGCATAATGTGCACCTCTGCCTAACCCTTCGGGGATAAAAGGCGTGATGTTATGTTATATTATGTTTAGGTAGTTAACTAAATATTATGTTTGAACAAGTTTTATACGAAAAATGTGATAGAAGTAACGAAACTGCTATGAAAACTTATTTTTCAATTGACTTTAATTTAGTTTTTTTTACTATTCTGTTTATTTATCTGTTCTAGCATTACGCGACAGATGATAAGTGTCCCATGTTTTGTCAGATGCGATTCGACTCTAACTATTCCCATAATTATTTATTTTACCAGTTGGGGAGTTTCCTCTTATTCCCATGGGATAACAAGCCTACATATTATTCCAGATAATAATATAATCTAAACCTGTTACTTCATCCCGATCGTTTCAGCCATTTTGAAGTAATTGGGTAACAAACATACACACACTTTTGCATTTTTAAGTATTATAGAAAAATTAGCATTGACTGTAAGGGCCAATTTTTCCAACGCTTTAACTGAGGAATGACTTTGAACATTGGACAATTCTTCCACACTAAAAAAATTACAATTTTATTCTCTACAGTTAACCTGTTAAAATTCATCCCCTAGTTCATACAAAAGTTGTCTCTAAACATTGGAAATAAGGTATACAATGTAGTTTGTGGAGACCGCTTAGGGATTAATAGGTTAAGAATAACTGATGATTAAAAAAATGGGACCTTAGTATTTTAAGGTTCACCTCTGTTGGCTCTGTCTATCTCTTAAGGAGGCAAAATGGGCCATTGTCTTGTTCTACTCAACACTAAAATTTCATATTTTCTTAAAAGAACAGATTTTTCGATGACTAATTGTCAAAAACATCTGTTTTGTACAACATGGTCAAGTTGAAAAACATTCTGGCATACACTTCAAATGGCAGTCATATTATGTTTAAGAATAATAAAAAGCAGCTGATATCCTGGTCGATTTTTAAAGAGGTACTTTTTAATTGATGTTTTTTAATATGTATTTCAAAATATTGAAGAGCTAGCTTCTGAGAGTGGCTTCGCCCACAGCTCCAGTGGATAAATGTTTATTTATTAACGCTTCATGCACAAGGTGTACACAAGGTGGACTTAATGCCGCAGGCATTTTTTCCCAGTCTATATGGTAGCCTAGGTAGGTAATAACATATTACAGATCACAATCTGGTCCAAATTTCACCCTAATTCCTTCAGCCCTTTTGAAGTGATTAAGTTATAAACACACAAACATACAAGTCACAAACACAAACTTTCGCATTTATAATAGTTATGTGATATTTTATGTTTGTAAACACACCTACGATACAACGGAAAATCTAGTGTGGCTAACTTTTTTTTTTAATTTTTATACACCAGTCATGATTTCAACATAAGTCCTTTAATTGCCATAAAAAAAACAAATAATCATCCCTCCAATATTGCTCGAACCTGCAACCCTTAGTAATTCCACTTGCGACTTCTCTACTAATAACAACTTTTTATTATTTGTAAATTTAATATTATTTTGATGCCTTTCTATCAAGCTTAGGCTTGTTCAGTTGTTTGTAATCAAAACATAGACTTCTTAGTTACTGGATACAGTTGAGAGAATAGAAGAATGCTTTCTATCATTCTACTTCCAAAATTAACATGAACTACCTACATTAAAAAAGGAAATTCATGCACTCTGTATTTGAAAAACTGGCTAAACGAATGATTTGGTTAAGTCTTAGTAAAAGATTCTTATAAGAATATTGTAAAATTCAATTCTATGGCTGGAACTAAACAAAGTTTATTACATTTCAATATATTGTAATAAAGTGTAATAAAATTTTGGGGTATTGATATTGAATAACAGTGAAGGTTAAGCTTGACAAGGGCATAAGGACAGAGTGCTCATCACTGTAGGCTAGTAGGTTAGCAGCACACAAGGTAAGCACTGTAATATAAACTTTTTGCTGACTACAAACTTTTTGCTGTTTACTGCAAAGTTACTATCAACAACATTATATTGATATCTATGGTACATTCACTATGATAGTACATGCCAGTTTATGTGTCACACTAGCAAGTGTGTCAATGAAAACAGCTGATTGGTATGTGATTTACACACGTTGATACACACTCAGGGACAACTCACACAAAGGATATTAACATTTTAAATGATAAAATGTGTTTTCGTAAGTATTACCCGCTTTCATTAACATTTAATGTTAAATCGAGACATGCAAATGAAACACTTCCGACAGGATGTTACGAAATTCATATAGGTTAGTTAGTGATCAACAAAATGTGAATAATAAGCACCACCTGCAGGGGGCTCCATCCTGAGCCCAGCTGCGACTGTCGACCATTGGGGTTGTGCTGCGAGCCGCCCGACATGGTACGCGGCTCTCTAGCGGCACTGTTTACTACACGTAGTCAACACCAATCCGTCAACAAACACTTCTTCAGTCCACCATAATGATGCCGGCAAGTTTGAAGCCTTCGCCCGCGTAACTGCGCTCCCTTACGACGTGTACAGATACTTCTGAAAGGTTTTCATCAGCGCATATTAAAATATCAACTATCCTTAGGGTGCCACATGTACTCCAGGTGTAAATTAACTCACTTTCAAATGCAGTAAACACTTATTCCAAAGAAAACTTAGATTATTTAGTGCATGGTATGGTGTTCACGATTTTGATGCTCACTTCGCGTGACATTTTGAACGCATTTACGTTTTGAAATTAAGCACTTCTAGCACAAATTGAAGTTCAGATTCAGTTGCCGAACTACTGGGCACTGTATCTTACCAAATAAAACTTTATATTTCGCCGATAATTATCACAGAAAACGTAAAAATCCACTAAGTATTCAATAAAATCGCCTTCACAATGGTGGCCGATTAGGTTTTTGAAAGCACATACAACGCCATCTTGTGTCAAAACTTCAAAAAGATGTCGATAAAACAGTGAAACGGAAGCATGTTTTCTTTTGTCTTTGGTGCACAAAAACACATCATGAACAGAAAAAAGCTTAGTCGGTAATCATTTAAATTACTGGCATTTAATGAACAAATAATGGTAAGGTATATTAAAAAATGTGTATTAACTATAAATTTTATAGGATTCTCAAAGAAGTTAAAACATTGATAAATTATCGGTTTTCAGAAAACGATCCTTTTGGTTTTATGCTATGGTAACATTATCATAGCGTTGCTATAGCAACGGTTGTTTTGTTTTCATTGTTATTACTGATACCGTATTATTATAGTAAGTTTGTTGGTGTCTCACTGAATTTTAAAGTTATAACTTCAATGAAAGACAGTGAAATTACAAAGTTTTTAGTATCATTTACGGGTCAGATTGAATATGTGACTTTTCCTGGTGGTGTATTTGACGACCAATTATATGTACAGTATGAAACAGTTTGGGGACCCGACTGGGAGCCTGTTTCAGGCCTTACGACTGGATCCAGTCAAATGGCGCGTTGTGGGATTGATCCCGAACGAGTCGTTCTTAATTTACCTTTAGAAATGGTTTTTAATAGCACAAATGTGTCAGGCTGTAAGTATTTTAGCGAAGGTCGATAAGATTGCCACTTACATTGTTACTTATTAGCTTAATGTCTAATGCTTAATGTAATAATGATGATTCTCATTTGTATCGACTAGAGCAGTCAGAAAACGGAAACAATTTTATCCTAGTCAAAGGAGACGGGTGATATGGGCCAACAGGACACTGAAATTAAAAATTAAATGTCGATGTAATTTACAGGGCCACAGATAATTATAACGGTGAAGGCTCTAAATACTATAACCGGAGATGCTTTGCGAGGCTATTCGTTATTTCTGTTGCCATCTACAACTGGCCTGGGTTTGACTTCAGCCCCCCTTGTTAGACCAGTCGCAGTCACGCTACTTGGTGAATGGCTTGCCTGGATTACTGGACGGTATCCCGAACTATCAGACCCCAAAATGTTAGCTAATGGAAAAGATAATTACTGTAAGTATTCGTATAATATTATTATTGTTAGTGAAATTGGGAGATTTTAAATGGTACGAGCTTTTGCATGCTATAAAAACTTGCTTTATTATTTTGTCAGTAGTTAAATTTTTTTTTTTATATTGTTCCTAGTGCTAAGGACGGAGTCTTACGGTAGTGTGACAGTTTCCTTGTCTATGGTGTCGAAAGATCTACGGAAACTGGGTTATGATAATCAACCTCCTATTTATAAATTGGTTGCCGATTTTTAGTGAATGCTTGCAAGTGCATTTAAAAATTAAAATAATTTAATAATCGTTGAAACTTAATGTAAGTGATGCCATCTAGTGAGCATATAACTCATCACTAGTTACTAGTCAAAAGTTGAAACAAACAGTCGTCTATCATATGAATATTATAAAATAAAATGCTGCAATGAAACCGTATTTTTATTTCTATTCAGCTGGGGCCTTGCTCTGCTGCCCCGTTGTATTCAGTGATGAGATGGTCATATATCTATTTATTCCGTTATAATTTGTCCTAGATAATTATGATAATGGACGCACCTTAATTACTAAGTGAAAACCTTGCCAGTTGCCCGCATGATTGATAAGTATCTAATTATTACGAACATATTTTTAACTTCATTGCCATACCTACTGCGTTTGAAGAGATGCAGATTGTTGCACTAAAAGATTAGAAAAAAATAGGCGACAGAAGGTTGTTCGGTTCTTGTTTATCGAAAAATGTCTAAGAGCTTACAATATGAAGTTTGAACTTGTAGTTCAAAGTTGGTGACTCAATTAACATGTACAGTCAGAACAGTACATCGCTGCAGTATTCAGAAAAATCACATCGGTTTGTTATGTCTTACAACATTGGGTTAAATATTTAGAGAAGAAATCCCCATTCATCATCATCATCATCTCATATCAGCCACAAGACGTCTACAACGCTGAACATAGGCTCCTAACCCAGGCCTCGATCTACCACTATATTGCGGCAGGTCTTACCACGAAGTAACCCTTGCAGGCTGATTTTCTTCTTCGAGTGGCGCGCGTGGAACACAACGTTAGCGCCTACTCCCGCCCGGCAGCAGAGGAGGTCGCAGATCTGGTTTGACTGGTGGCCCGAAGCATTTCACCCCCAATACTTCGTAGTCAAGACAACAGAAAGCCGTGCAAAGATGAACGAAAACGTCCAGTTTCTTGAACTTCTTAGCAATGTTCAATGCTTTGAAGTTTGAGTCTTTTCGGATTGGCTTCCAACTTCCCATAGGTCTATAGTCTATCTCAATGGCTCAGAATATTTATTTTAGTTATAATGAGTGAAGCAGTATATATCTACCTATGTATTTACTTAGTTCTCGATGAGCAATCTCAATGTAGAGTTATCTTTCTCTTATCGTTATTCTGCATAGATAATCTTGTTCTAGGTTTGTAGGAAAACATTTAAATCGTGGTAATATAGTTTTATGGCGGTTACAACGTGGATACATATTTACTTTTATAGGTATGTGTAATTAATTTTCAGTACAAATATGTATGTAATGTAGGTACTTAGGTTAGGTACCTAAAAACAGCTAAAACGATCTCAATTAAGAATCTGTGTATTTAAATAGATTTTTCGCTTAAATTAATTTGGTTCTCAATTAAGATCTGTTGTTAGTTATATGGTCTGATAGTTTCGGTCTTTTAGTATCTGTTCCGGTATAAAAATAATTAATATTTGTGGGATCTATGGGTTGGTACCGTAAGATTCCCGGGGAGGTAACTGACCTCCCTGTTGGATTACCGCCATGAGACCTGAAGGCGTCGCGTTCCACTCGCGTCTCATAAAGCCATCAGACCACCACAGATGGGGCCTAGTAGGGTCGATGCCTGACCGATCTTGTGGATGACTTTACGGGTTACCGAGGCTACGGCACGATGCAGGAGTTGGAACGGGATGATTTTTAGCTGAGCGTTCGTTAATTGTTATGTCGTGGTGGCTCGGAGGTTTAAGACGCCTGCTTCTCATGCATGAGGGTGCGGGTAGCGGGACGGCAAGTACCAATGTGACTTTTTCCGAGTTATATGTACTTTTTAAGATTATTTAGACACCACTGTAGTGGAAAAGGTAGTAGGAAAAACATCGTGAGGAAACCTGGGCTTATAATTTCTAATTATAAGTTTGAAATCGCCAACCCGCATTGAGCAAGCGTGGTGAATAATGCTCTAACCTTCTCCGTGTGAGAAGAGGCTTTGCTCAGCAGTGGGCATTTATAGGCTGTTGATGATGTTCGTTAATTGCGTTGTAGTAGATAGTAATTTATATTTCTATGATCGGATCAGTGGCTGCGTGAGCGACTGCCGAATGTTCCATTCCCACGTAGCACCCTAATTGTTAGTCCGGGTGTAGGTAGGTAAATGAGAAAGCGTTTATCAGTCCCCCCAAGACACGAGTCACGACATACTTATGCAGTAGTTACCTTAAGGATAAAGGTGAAAAGTATCAAAAAGATAGTCTAATCTAGAGAAACAGGTACCTAGGTACGGTAAGTAGGTACCAAGTAAGTACCTCCTATAAATAGTGCCTACGTGCATATTTGACGCAAGTGATGAGTAAGAAATACATAGTAAGAATATTATTTTGCATGTAAGTTCCTTGTTCCTTTGAAATTGTTTTTTTTTGTAACTGACGTCTGTGTGACTGTACGGCTGGCCCAGTATGCTGGACGGTTCGTTCAGTAGCTGAGCAAAGTATCACGTGTTCGATTTTCGCTTTAGGTTAAAAGAGCTAATAGATCACCTAATTGGGTAGTTTCCAGGGTATCAAAATTTAAAATCTAATTAGTCCGTCAGTCAGTTAGATAATGAAAAAAATAAGACACGTATTTTTTATTTTCTCGTATTATTAAGTTACTATACTTAGATAAAATGACGCTAGTTTTAGGAGTGAAAGGTCGTTACGTCATAACGTGCTACAAAATGTGACACGTTGTGACGTCACACAATATTTCAAATTAGGATATCGTCGAAAGTATTTAATATTAGGTACGAGAAAAGAAGAAATACGTGTCTAAAGTTTTAAATTAATGTAATAGACGGACATTAAAATAAAATTTAGGAAATTACCCTATTGCTACTATTGTTATACTTTGTCGTATACCTAGTATTTTCCTTAAAGTCCAAGGATTTTTTGTTTTAGACATCTTCTCTCCTCTTTCCCGTTTCACCATCTTCTTTAATTCTCCATTCTGTTCATTCGTACTGAAACAAATAATACATTTAAACTTGGTAAAATTGTGTTTGCAGAACCACAACACAAGGGTTCAGTTTGCTGTGGTGCAGTTTTCAGCTGGGCTAAAACCAACCATAAATTTGTTTTTTCCTCAGTACTTGCGTACAGTAGGTAGATCCCCGGCACTTTCCTGTTAGTGGTAAACTGGTACTTGCAGACGTCAACTACTGAACTTTAGGATTAGTACCTACGTGAGTTCAACAGGCAAAGCCCACAGTATCTACTAGGGACAAGCCCACTTTTTATTGCGTCAGAAGCTATGAACAAACTTGTGAATCTATACTTGATATATAGTTGCGGAGAACCTAACGGGTAGCCGAGGCTCCGGCTCGACGTGCAGGAGAAGGAACGGGGTGGTTTTTAGTCAGTAAGAGTCTGACACTCCCTCCCGCCTCACCCAGGCGGGAGAAGTCATTCAATGATTTTCCCCCTTTAAAAAAAAACCTGATATATACACTTTTTATTGCGTCAGAAGCTATGATGAACAAACTTGTGAATCTATAAACCTGAAAAGTGTGTTTGTTTGTTTGACTGCGCTAATATTTTATGTGCACGATTTTAAAGTGATGGAAAGCCATGCGTCGGCACGAATGGGCCGGCTTGACCAGAGTGATACCACGGCCTCACAGAAAACCAACGTGAAACAACGCTTGCGT